ATTAATTTTTCGTATTGATGATAAATGTTTCTCAGTTCAAATGTCCGTGCTTCAAGAATGACGCGTCGTTTGCAAAGGGAACACCGACTTCCTCTGACGTAATTATAAACATTCAGAACATCTAAAATAAAGTGCATTCACTGCGCACTCACCGATTTCATGATCAACCATTAAAGCCAACCAAATAATAATGTATGAATATATCCGAAGATGGGAGTTTGATTTAAAAGACATGTAACTTTAATGGTTAGAATATGTCACTGATACCTTATGGTTATATCTTTTTTTACTTTACTTTAATTAAGTCTTATTTCAATGTCATCTTTTTACTATAGTAGTGAAGTGCCTAAAATCGTATCAGTCATCAATCAACAATGTACGTGAAAACAGATATATATATTCAACTTTAACTTATTATAAATACCTGAACTAGAGGCACTGTGAGCAATCGGCTCACTAAATGATACCCCCGCCTCCCATATGTGTATAAATTGCAGTGTCCATGTTTTGCTATATATACCCAAAATATGTGTCGGATCAAAAAGTAAAATAGGAGGTGCACAATGGCAATATGTAATAAAGATTCTGTGAAAGTTTCATCAAATTTCATTCAGTGGTATAAGAGGAGTTGCGGATAAGAGATGGGTACCCCAAAGCGTAACAGACGGACGGACGGACAGACGGACGGACGGAATAAACGATTACTATATACCCTCCCGCTTTTCAAGCGGGGGGTATAATGAATTCTGTACTTTACATATTCATGAACAACAAGGAATACAAAACATCTCAGTATATAAACAACATAAGCCACTAGCCTACTCACCTGCGTCAATACTGCAGTCAGTGCAGTAATGCAACGTATGACTCAAGATTCTAGTTTCGTTTTATTTTCCACGGAAAACCGAAAACATACGGCTTGATTTCTGAAAATATACATGTAGACTATTGATTCACTAAAGCATCATATTGATTTTTCAATAGTTAATAATTAAATGACAACTAAGGAAAAACTATACCGGATAGGAAGTTCATGTTTCGGTGTATTTAGGCTGTATGTTCCACTAGAACTAAAAATAAAAGTCACGTCATAACAAAATATAGGCCTACAGCAGTTTTTGAATTTATTATTAAACATGCCCAAAACACAGACTCCCGAAATTTCCAGAGGTTGGTGCTTAGAGAGGTAAGCATCTCCTGTTAAACGGCCACGCCTGCCGTGAGTCCTGTATGTACTGATTAGATACTTTCCTTAGTATCCGGATAATTTCAAAGGCCTAACAATGGTTATACTTGTTTGTGTATATGTTGTTTAACGTTCCTCTCGAAAATGTTTCACCCAATAGGTATGTAATGGAACAATTCTGTCAAAATACGACCCATTGATATATGTTATATGCTAACAAGGTTTTCATAATGACCAAAAGATTTACGAAATGTTTACTTTAAACAAGGTTTTGATTCACTACAAAATCAACTTATCTGTCAGTAGAGATAGTCTCCTTTGGTTTGAATAGTTCCATTTTAAACGGACAAATTCTTCAAAATCATATGTCAGTTTTGAATATTTTTAATATTCCAAAGAACCAAAATGACTTTGAACTACCATATCTATATTTGATTCCGAAACTTCATAAAAACCTTAAAAACAAAGGTATAAAGCGAGTCCCAGTAGATGTTCAACCAAGTCTCTTTCTTTACTCCTTATTAAGATATTAACCGTATTGAAGGAGAAACTTTAAGAGTACTGTGCAATAATATATTCAAGAAGTGGTGTTAATCAGATGTGGATACTTAAAAATTCCAAGGAACTTTTGTACAATTTGAAATCACAAGATTTTACCAGAATCAACAGCTTGAAAACTTTTCAACTTTATATACAACCATACCCCACAATATAAAGTCCAAACTTTTGGATATCATTGACAGCTGCTTTTTCAATATAAAAAGAACTCGTAAATTACCTACCTGGTCATTGGTCTTTGCAAATTACATGTATTTTGTTAAAAACATACAGATTGTAAACACAAGTACTCTGAAGTTGATATAAAAAAGATGCTTGAGTATATATCTATGTTGTTTTTGATGACCAGGTATTCAAACAATCCATTAGAATTCCCATGGGAACTAATTGCGCCCCGTTATTAGCAGACATATTCTTGTATTCATGTGAAGCAGAATTTTTCCAAAATCAAGAAAAAAAGACACTTGCTGTGGTCTTCACCTCGACATTAAGGTATATCGAAGAGTTACTGTCAATTAACAATGGCAATTTCCATTCTTATGTCGATATGTTATATCCTGGTGAGCTTGAGATAAAATATATTACAGAGCCTGACATATCAGCTTGATATTTGTATATTTTACTTGAAAAAGACGTTAATGGTAATTTAACAACAAAGCTCTATGATAAACGTGATGACTTTAACTTTTCAATCGTCAACTTCCATTGCTTATGCGGCAATATACCTTCATCACCTGTATACGGATTTTATATCTCTCAGTTGATTCGATACGCAAGAACATGCCCTACGAATGATTAATTTCTAAAACGAGGTAAATTATTGACAAACAAGTTGATGAAACAAGAATATCAACAGTCTCGTTTACAGTCTTCATTTCGTAAGTTCTATGGTCGATACAATGACCTTGTCAGCAAAAACAATTTATCATTGAGTCAAATGCTGACTGACGTTTATCATTTCAATTGATAGTCCATTATTTATACAATGAATTGAAGACGAATTTTCCCATTATTTTCCGATCATGAGCACAAAGCGACACGTCGGGTATGACCGGTCTGCAGGATATTCTTCCTCCTCCATGGCAGCTGATCCCACCTCTGATGTTTTTGAGGCCCGTGTTTGCTCTGCTATTTTGTATTGTTTTATGGATTTTTGATCTCGAATACTGTTTGTTATCTCCTTATATTTCACTGTAATCGGAACATGCTCTTGTGTATTAAATGAGATGGGAGGTACTTGTAAACACCACATGCAGGTGTTAGCAGAATACAATTACATAAATAAGGAAAGTTGGCGATGGGTAAGCTGAAGTTATTTTGTTTGTCAAAAGGAATCGCTGTTAGTTGGCCCTTACACTTATAGTCCGTAAAAATCCAAATGTGAAACAAGTGTAAGAAACTCTGTCTGTCTTTCGTTTCAGTTTACTGGGATTTATCGAATCGACATATGAATGAAAGTTTTTTTTTTTTTTTTTTTTTTCAAATCGTTTATTCAATAATGTACAACATAACAGTGAGGCAAAACTTCCGCAGAAGCCCTCTGGTAATACTTCACCAGGGATGCCAGGAGCTCCCTGGATCGATATAATATTATTCAATATATTTCCAATATTTGAACACAGAAATTTTTCACATTATACTAATATATAATTATTGACTTTATTTTTATACATATACATAAATATCTCAAAGGAAATTTTTACCATTTTTATATATAAAAACAAAGTATTCGTTTAACACCAATAGAAGCATGACCCTTGTTGCAGTGGAGATTGTGTAAAAAAAAAAAAAAGAACAAAAAAAAAGAAGAAAGTCTATATCAATCTCACTGTAACTAGTATTTAGGGCCAGGTCACCCTAAAATACTGGTCTTTTTATGTTTTACATCTTAAAAACAGGATCAATATGCACAGAGTTTTGTGATAATAAAATTAGATTTTTAAAAAACATTAGAATGAATGAATTTTACAAAGACATGAATATTTTTTCCTCACATACATAGTTTAAATCATATTTTAAACATAAAGTTTCCAGATACATGAAAAATAACATAGCAAAAAAACTAGTGTGTCTTATAGTGGATTTAAAATGTGAATACATGTACATGTATATATAGTTTATCACGGCAGCATATACTAGTATTAGAATCACAAGGAATTTTGAAATACATGATTTATTTTCTCTTTGAAATTTGTCAAATCATGTGATTGTAAAAGTGAAAAATTCGATTTCATTTCATTTTTGAATGCATTTTTAATACTGAAGTCAGTTATTTTTAAATTCTCATATTTAATTTTATTTCTTGTTTTCCATATGACCCATTTATAAATACATATTAAAATGTTAACAACGTTTCTTTGGGTTTGCGGTTCCTTCAAGTAGCCTAATGTTATTGTTTGTTGGTTAATTTGTAAAGTTCCATTTAGTTGCAGCACATTTTCAATTATATCTTCTAGTAATTTAAGTGTTGTTTTAACTTTTGTGCAATGGAAAAAAGAGGTGTTGTTGATTTTCTTTATGATTTTTACATAGGTTGCATAAACCATTGGATAGTCCGATTTTACATAATTTATCTTCAGTATACAATATATTATGCACACATTTCCATTGGAATTCTTGAATTTTATTTTTAACTTTCATTTTTGAAATACTGTCCCAAACTAAGTTCCACTGTATGCTATTTTGGTAAATATTTTCCCATTTTTCTTGACATTTTGGAATTATTGTCTTGTTTAATATTTTTTCTATGTTCTTTAACTTGATATCTTCAAAGGTTACCTCTTTATTAGTATCTCTTTTTATGAGTAAATTATTATTCAATTTATAAGGGAGTTTTGTTTCGCTATTTGATACTGAGCTGTTTCTTTTCAGTACTGGATAAAACAGTTTAGGAATGGCTGATTTTATTTTACTATATTCAAATATCCAACATCTTTTGTCTACTAATTTATTAAAAATGGTGTCGTTATATTTAAAACAATTTTCCGCATCATTCCAAATGTCTTTAATTTTTAATAAACCACTTTTGATAAATGATTCCACATATAGGCTTTTCCCTTGGAATTGTATAAGTTTATTACCAAAGAGTGAGAGGTTAAGTATTTCCTCTCGATTCTCTGGCACAAATTTTGACTGAAATTCGCTGTATGCGATGAGTGCTTTCTTTTAAAAACAAGACATGTTATTTAAGGAAATTGGAGATAAATCTGAACAAGTGCATAAGAAATATTCTTGACTTGAATGCATATCAATATTCCAATATAACATATACAAGTTGAAGTATAACATAATGATGAAAAAATCATACTTAAAAGAAAAAAAAATATACAAGAAACACAAGTTAATGGATTAAAAGCACAGAGCAACGATAGACGGTGTTACAGGACATATCAAATCCACTATTGCTTACTGCAATTAATACATATATACTCATATATAATGTATAAATCCTATTGGATGGCATTGTGATACATATCATAGAAAAGATACACATATACACGATGAGCATAGCATCAGACAAAGTATGCAGATACTATTAAAGTCTTCACAGTTTAAACGCCAAAAAATTTATTTGACGGTGTTAAATCATTGAATAAGCGTCTCTTTTAAGCGTCACTTTAAGTTTTTCTGTATAACCAAAACGTAATTTTTCTTTTGGAAGCATTCCTTGGACAATTAAAAAGAAAATGTATTTCATCTTTAAACTCTTAAGTGAACAGTTCATACAATTTCTCGCAATTCTAGGAAAACCACAGTACTTGCCTGTTTCAATTCTTAAAATGTGTGCAATTATTTAAAATTTAGTGAGTGTCTTTCTCTGATTAAAATTACTCACAATTGTTCAATACTTTTCAAACTCCTTACATTTATGCTCTGGTAGCTAAGAAATATAATACATTCTTCCATATACATGTATAATAAAAAATAGACAATATACTTAGTGTTAATGTACTTAGTGTAAAAAATAAAAGTCAAAATACTGGCTGATACATTATTCACAGCATTAAACGTGTACACATTCAAACATACGTTTAAATCTTTGTCAGTTTGGTCGAGTTTTCCTTCCTCTACCACGCTGACCCCTTCCCCTGCCTCCTCGCCATCCACCGCGATTTCGGCCTCGTTGTCTTGAAAAGTTTTGATTTGGAATTTCAAAATCATTTGTAAAATGATTTCCAAGTGCGGAATCTACCATATAATTGCTGTCTTGATGTGAGGGATGTTGGTAAACAGACGTATTATGACTCCCCCTTTTCTTACCCCGTCGTGGATTGTGTTTGTAAAGAACTTCCCCTTTAATATTATCTTCAGTCTGTGTTAAGTCTCTTATCATGGACTCTAAGTCCACATTTGGTTCTGCTTGTTTCGAGTCTTCAGGAAGATGGAATTTAGATGATTTGTCACGTTTATTTCTTCTTTTACCACGATTTCCTATTGATTCATTTCTTGCCTCTAACAATGGTTTCAATTCTAATGCACCATATCTTTCTGCAATTTGAGATTTTCCATTCCTGTCCTTTTGAGGTTTTACATGACTCTCATTTTTTGGATTCAATGCACTTGAAGATGTTGTGTTCCCATTCAAACGACCCTGTTTTGGCCGAGCTCCTTGGTTTTCATATTTACTTAAGGAGGTTGATGGTAGGCAAAATGGATATTGGAACATAATCTTTACATCCTGGCAAGTTAAACATGACTGGTAGTCATCATATTGACAAAATGGATGGCCTGTTTATCAAAATAAAGAAAATTAAGAAAATAAATGTTTTTTTCTATAAGGTCAGAATTTGTTGTAAACGTGTGGACAAATCGAGTTTTTAAACGAAATACTTGCCTCAAATACATTGAGTATAAAATATACCAGGGATATATATATATATTTTTAAATGTCATGCAGAATTGCAAATTGAAAACATTTAAAAACTGAAAATAACTTTTACAACTATAACTGTATTTATAGATAAATGAATTTAATAATGAGAAATATTTATCATGCTTACCATTTTTGCAAAGTGTCCACGTATTAATGTGACAATCTATCATTCCCATTGCTTTTGGAAATCCTTCCGTTTTTCCAATTCTTGATGCAACTTGTTGAGTTAACACAGGTTTTATTAGATCTATTGCCTTTTCAATTTTTCTCTGCTGTACAGTCGAAAATTTTGCAGGAAATTCTACGAGGTGAACCAATGAAGCAATAGTTTCTTCGACTTTTTCAGCTGTGACAAGGGAGTGTTTGTCACTGATTTCATTTCCAGTGCTTCTATTTTCATAAAGGATATCATCCTTATTTTTAGCGAGTTTAATCACCAACAACTTCCAGATGAAACTAACGAAAGTCATACCCCTATACACGTCGATGGCATTCTGATAGTTCAACAGTGAATCTGAGTTTATTAAATTAAGTAAAACGTCTATGAAGTATTGGGAACGCTTAAAAATGTCCGCCTCTGACTTCTCACATTTTCTTTCAAATACTGAGATAAAAGTGCCAAACTCTGTTAGATATTTCACACATTCCTTTCTGTCCCCAAAGAGAAACGGATAAGAAGTGGCACCTCCAAGCTGTATCGTTTGTCTTAATTGAGACTTCATCATGTTCACTAGTTGTGCTTGTTTTTTAAGTATTCCATTGTAACGTGGGTGGTATATTACTGCCTTTTTACATAAAGGACACCGTAGAACAGTTAGTATATCATTCTTTTCCGAATCGAACACGGCATCCAGTTCATTTGCAGTAAATATGTGTCCACATGATTGCAGCTGAACCAGTCCTATCTTTTTATTCAGCTTTGCTTCTAGATGTGGATTACACTCCAGACAACTTTTGAGGCATGGCTCTCCACAAAAAGCAGCACATTTATGTCCACATTGAAATACTTCCGTACATTGTTTGTTACACCTTGGTCTATTACATGGTTCATGACAAAGCAATTTACAAGCAAAATGAGGACATTGCCATTCGCATGGTTCAGAGCATTGAATACATGGTTGACTACATCTATTTTTACAAATTTTGTGAGAGCATCTAGCCATGCATTGTTTCTCGCATGTATTACAATCTCCACATCGCCTGCTTTCACAGTCGTGCCCACAAACGAGGCGATTTTTGCACATTTTATTACAGGCCTGGTGAAGTAGTCCTCCATTGCATTTTGCACAATCACCTGTACAAATGTGTCCACAGGCTAGTTTATATGTGCATTTTTCTCTGCAAACATTTTTATAAGGCTGAATGCAGGGATTGGTAACATCATGTCCACAGAATTCTGTCCTTGTTACATTAGCTGTGCATGGTGGAAATTCCAAATTTGGATTTGCTTGAAGTTCTTGGTTTAAATGACACGGAATTCTATTAATATGATTACAGTTAGGTTGTGTTATTTCCATTAATTCTTTGCATTTCTTTTTGTGTGAAGACTCCCAACATTTTATTGACATCAAATGACCACAGCCTGGCAAAGGTTTCATGACATTTTCTTCACATCTAATATTCTCAGGATTTGTGTGACATATTGCCTCCGTAGTATGTCCACATCGTAATGTTTTGGTAACTAATCTTTTGCATTGAACTGTTGATATATTTCTCCAACACTCTGTCTCTTGTTCATGGCTGCAAGGTAACTGTTTTTTGGTTCTCTCAGTACATTTGATCTCTGATGGGTTATAACAGCATTTCATTATCTGCATGTGACCACAAGATAGGGTTTTTTCAACATACGTTTGACATTTAACGTCATCGCTGTTGATGTCCTGATAACAATTTATTTCCTTTTCATGGCCGCAATTTAGTATTTTTCTCACTTTTGCCTTACAATTAATTTGAGATATTTTAATGAAGCATGAGGTCTCTTTTGTATGACCACATTTAAGAGACTTAACAACGTTGAACAAACACTTCTTTTCTGCAACATTTTCGGAACATTTCAATGTCAAGAAATGGCCGCACAATGGATGCTCTTTTTCCACTACCTTTTCACAAAGGCATTTTTCATTAAAATGACATTTTCTTAAACACTCATGACCCATGGGACAAAGTAAACCACAGACTGAAGTACACTTTGTTTTGTCCTTGTTGCAACAATCAACTTGTATATTGCTATGATGACATTTAAAGTCGGTAAACACTTTACTTTTACAATCCAATTCTTGTAGAGAAATATGGCAATTTACTTCAATTGAATGCCCACATAACGGAAAAGTCTTGCAAACCATTTCGGTACATTTGTTGCGTACTTGGAACAGCAAGCTTGAAATATGGCAAGCACGGGTGAAATCATGCTTACAATCCTTTCTTTTTTCCACTACCTTTGTTGGACATTTAAATGTTTTAACATTTTCAAAACATTTCATTTCTACCTCATGCTCGCATTTTGGAAGAATTCTACTCACATTTTCCTGGCACTTATATAATTCGTAATTAATACAGCATAAAAGTTCAATTGAATGTGTACAAGGCAATGTCCTTGTTACCTTCTTTTGGCATTCAAACGTTTCTATTGGTGTCCAGCAAGGCATATCTGCGTTGTGGCCACAATTCAATATTTTGTTGACAGTTACACGACATTTATATGTTTCTGGTTCCTGAAAACAGGGCAAGTCTACTGTATGGCCACATTGTAATTCTTTTTCCACTTTAACTCTGCATTTGCAAGGTTTTGGAAAATGGCAACTCTTCTGACATATATGACCTCTTTCACAAAACTTTTCGCAGCGGTCTTGACATGTGATGTCTAAATGCTCTTTGTCATAAGGATGGCAAAGATGTGTACAGGTGTGACCGCAATTTAACTCAAAATTGCAAGGTAAGATACAGCCTCCCTCCGGGGCTTTATCAAAATCGTCCGGATTTTTAGCAAATATTTTCTTAGTCCCTGGATGATTTTGGCAAAAAAGAGGTAAACCCTCTCCAATAGAATTCGATTCCTTCATTTTGTCGATTGCAGACCGAAGCAGATTTGTTTTGCGGGTAAATTTTTCAATCATTTTGAAATTACCAATCACATATAATCCGATCCTAGCTCTGGATAATGCGACACAGATTCTATTTTCTTTCTTCAGGAACCCGATTCTGCCCTCTTTGTTGCTTCTCACCAGTGACAGTAAAATGATGTCGTTTTCCTCCCCCTGGTAATTATCCAATATTGAAATTCTTATCCCTGCAAACTCACTTTTAGGCATTATATCTCTTATGCAAAACATTTGACCAGAGTATGGAGTCAGGATAGTAATGTCTTGTCTTTTATACCCTTGTTGTAAAAGATATCTTGTCAATCTTTTAAGGTACATTGCCTCAAATTCATTGGAGTAACTCTGTGACTCACCTTTCTGATATTCGTTGTTGGTATGAGAAATAAAATAGACATCCTTCTCGATGCCAAGAATATGTTCACGATTGAAAACGGTGTCATCATCCTCTAGTCCAGGATAAATATCCTGTACAAGTTTAGATATTTCCGGTCTCATTCTGTGTTGCCGCATTAGACAACTGAACTCTAGTTTATTCTCAATCATTCTTTCAAACATGGATAAAGCTAAATTGTATCGTTCAGCAAGTTCGTAGACTGATGGTTTTGGTTCTAATTGCTTGTGATCTCCAATTAATATCAAGTGTTCACATTGAGTACTCAATGTAGAAATGATATGTCCCTCTAAAACTTCGGCAGCTTCCTCCACAATGATAATTTTCGGTCCAATTTCATTCAGAACGGTTTGATACCGAGCGGCACCGGTAGTTGTCATAGCTATAACAAGCGAACTGCAAAGAATTTCTCTGTCAACGTAATTTTTTTCAATCAAATAGTCTTTGTATATTTTGTCATATTCTGCCGACTGTTCGCTTATTTTTTTGGCCTGGATGTCACAATATTTCTCTACAAAATATTTATACATTCTCCACCTATCTTGAATAGGCAAACTCCATACATCATCAATTTTGTTTCTCATTTCGTCTACTGGCATCGGCTTGCTTTTCTGGAAGTAGTCATTTACAACTGAGGCTTCATTGTCAAGATATTTAATAAAATCTTCAGATAGATTTTGCTTTGATTTTGACTTAAGCAAAACTGACTCTATGCTCACCCCTATGGCCTCAAAATTGTAATCCACATCAAAATCATCCTCTTCAATCATTCTGTCGTTTATCATGTAATCACCCTCTGTTTCCACATCAATAAGTTCCTCGGTATCTGCTGTTTCCTTTAAATCAACCACATCATCTTTATCTTTGTTCTCATACTTTTCAAATGCAGCTTCTGTAAAATAGCTTTCATTTACATTTAACCAATCCATCATCTCAAATGCATTTCCTTCTTTATTTGTTTGCTTAATGATTGTACCAACTTCTTTCACAGTACTCAGTATTGTTTCATCTAAGATATTCTCTTGAGCGGAAAATATATTCCATTTAAGACTGCATATTTCAGACCGTATTTTCTGAAGCTTATTCTCAAATTTTCCGTGATTAACAAATACCTTTCTAAACGATCTTCTTTTATTCTTCAGTTTGAAATCCTCAATTTTTTCACTGTTACATCTTCCCCCGACACGAACGATATTTTAACTCCACTCCCCCCGATTCGCCGGATCCATAAAATCAATCATCCCCTCTAAAAATTGATCGAGGGCATGGTTTGTATAGCATACGATCAACATCGGATGTATCTTTTCCTTTTGCTTCTTAACTTTGGCTTCCTCGTCATCGATGTCAGGATCATCCTTCCGTCTCCAGAACAAGGAGTTATGCAGCAAAGTTTTCGCAATTCTGAGACCAAGATGAGTTTTGCCTGTTCCAGGAGGCCCTTGTATAAGCACAAACTCTTTTGTCAGAGCAGACTTAAAGGCTTCATACTGGGAATTGTCAAGATGTAGATCAGTTGCCCTAGGCCATTTATTTTTGTATAAAATTGGTATCTCTAACTTTTTTTCTTGATTTCGAAAAGGTAAAGTTCGTCGTTGATAAGGACGATACTTTTCTAGCATGTTTTTTTCCTTTGCTTGAAATATTAGAGATTGTGAAACAATTGGATGTAAATCGTATTTAACATCATCTATGCCAATAAGGTATTTTGGTTTCTTAATGTCTTGTTGACAGTGTACTATATATCTTTCAAAAGGCATTTCTCCCTCTTTAATAGTTTGTAAACAATGCAAAACATGTCGATATGCTTCAAAGTAAGCGACACTTTCTACCACTGTTACAATAAGGCCCTTCGATAACGCTTGGGTACCCTTTTGTCTTTTAATAAGAACTTTGATCATACCTTTCTTCTTTATGGCTTCGTTGTCGGTTTCAGCTACTATGCCAAAATATAAACTTTGAAAATCATTTGGCGAAATACAAAGCAAGGAACCGTACATTAATCTGTTGCTCCTTTCCCATCTTATTCTTGACACCTGATTCATGTCTAACTTGATTGTATACATTGGACCATCTAAGGTCATTTCTTTTTCATCTTCAATTGTAACATTTCTATAAAGTCTAGCATCTTGTAATTTTCTAATTTCTTTCTTTTCACGTCGCTTTGTACATAAATACTCAATTATTCCACTTCGTAATTGAGCTATACAATCTTCTCGAAGCAATCGAAACTGTATATCAAGATATTCATCCAAGTTGTCAAAAGGTACATCGCGAAGATTAGGCCTAAAGAAAGGAACCTTATGTATGTCATCAAGAGTTGGAAGTATAGAGATTTCTCGAAAATTATTCGGTGGTTTACGCGTGTCTTTTTTCTGACATTCACTTTGTTTTTCGGGTCTAACAGAATGTTCAGTTATTATATCCAAGAGAGCTTTGATTTCATCACTTAGGTCTAGTAGGTGTTCTTCATCCAAATTCCTTTCAGCTGTCAAAACATTAATTTTGTCCTCGGTTTCTAGGGTCAACTGGGTAAATTCGTGTGCTGTGGTAGGGGATCTTTTACATAAATGACTTAAAAAGCATACGACGTTTTCTAGCTCGGGTAAATTCTTTTTTGTTGATACCTGTCTTATTATGGATTGAAGATTTTTTGCAAAGTTTGAGGAACCCAAGACAGGTATAAGACTAAGAACTTTAGGATTCTCAGCACATCTTTTATTTTCTAGTACCTTTACCACGATTTGTAAGAAAATTTTACATTCTTCTAAATCTTGTTCCGATTTCCTTAAAGTAGTTCTTAATTTATCTTCTGTCCATAGACTAGATGCCAATATATCCTCAACTTTATATGAAAGCAAAGTTTTCAAATCTGCAAGGCGAAGAGGTTTTGTGAAATAATTTTCTCCGTCCATTGCTACTTTAACTGGCCACGTCTGCATGATCTCTGAGGAGAGAAAATGTTTTTGTACAATCAATGACAGTGGGTGGATACGTTAAAAGCAGATTTTGTTCAATCAAAATATGAATTTATATGTAATTCTGTATTTTGTTTTTAAATAGCATGATTTTTCATCAAGAAGACAAATAATTTGATACTCATTACTAGCCATTTCTATTAATGGACCGACATTTAAATTTCTTTTTCATCCTGAACATTATAATTAAAACTACAAATATTTTGATTATATTATATTCATATAATTCAATCGATCCTCTTTTTTTAAATCCAGATTTAATTTTATATTCAAATTTTATAATTCATTTTATTATTTTAATTACAAACAAGAAAATACATGTTTAAGGGCCGAAATATACTCATATTCATAAGAATTTTGGGTGTAAATTCTTCAAACAAATAGTCCATTCTAATTTCAAGTTGTGAAAAAACGAAAGTGAACAACTATTGACCAAAACAAAAAAAACAAAAACAAAAAAAAAATTAAACAAACAAATAAAAACGGGAAACCCTAAACGAGACCGTTTTCGTATGGAGAAAAACTGAGGAAGTTTTTTCAAATAGAAAAAAATATTAAAATTCTTCCGCCACAAAAAATAGTATCTCACTTAATCTGTCAATGTTTTTGTATGGAATTACATGCAAATCGTTGGTTGTTATTTAAAACAGCTTCATTTGCATTGTGGAACCCTTGACAAATTAATTGCAAAAGCTAAAATTTTGATGCAGATATTTAGAAATCGAGGTATAGCCAAAAGATCTGTTCCCGATATTGAACTTCCTTAAAATCCATTATTCAGCAAAAATACAGATCTATATTTGATGAAAAACCATGTAAATACTTTACTTGACTTTGTAGTTGGCTTTGGGCCTCATATGATATCTTGATATTTTTTATATGCTGTACAAGCTTATTCACCCCTATTTATGGCAACGTGCCAAATGTTAAGATTCTTTACCAAGAATTGAAATAAAAACCGAAAGTATGTTTTGTTCCTTAGAAAATCTATATCAAAACCCAAGACCACATTTTTCATGAGGCCTGGATACATGAAATTCCGTTTACTAGTATTTTGTTTTACATATATTAATCAATTACCTAACTAAAATAATTCTAATTCGATAAGCTAACATACATGTGTGTAAAACATGTTGACGAGAATTTTTTTTCAGAAACGCTTTGTATGAACCATGTATCTCGTTATTAGCTTCATAAAGCAAGCATATATATTTATAAAATTACAAATACTGTAATTATATATACTTAGTCTAGATTGTTTCTCCTTTTTCAACGAATTCCGATCGACCATTCTGACAGTGGAAAACGTTATACGCATGCGCCTTAAAGAAGTTGGGTGAACAAGGATTGTGGAATGCCTATAGCTTCAGATATAAAAATTATAATCGATTTGTGAATATATTATTAAGAATGAAGTTCTTTTTTAAGAAGAGACGATAAATATTTTTTTTCAAAGAAAAAAAAATCGGCAAAAATTATTCTTTTACTAGTATTTAAAAAGTAAAGTGTTATTCAAACCATACTTCAATAAAAATTCTGAGTACTATTTTGCTTTGAAACTAACATGCAAGCTAACCACTGCGCTACTCTTCACCTGATGAAGACTGGCATTTAAATCATGTCTGTGATATGAACCTTTAATAAATGAACTTTAGGAAAGATGCGATTTTTTTCATAATTTTTTTTACTCATAATATGAGAAATGGCCCCTTTGTTCTCTTTAGTGTGTATATGCTATTTCATAAGGAAATACATGTAATATCAAGTGAGATTTTTGCAAATTTTATAAATTATATTGTCCAAGATGAATTGATAAACAAAATTTTTATATTTAATTCAGATTTAATTTTTCACCATATTCCTCGCATTATAGGCTTTTTGCTAGCCTTGTTCACCTATCCTCTTTAAAAACCAGGAGTAATGACATTTACATTCATACCATACATCAGATGATGATGAATTTAGAACTACTACACTGTTCTAGGTTTAATAAATACGAAACTCTAAACTTCAATAAACCGAATGCTAAATATAAATGACACTGAAAAGTTTAAAATTGATTTTTCCGAGATTATACAGTTTTGACGAGCAGCTTACTACTATCACTGACAAACAGGTTTTACATAAATCTTTTTACATTCTTTACCTATTGCACAATAAATAGATATTTGTCCTCGATGGTACACTATGCTGTCAGCTGAATTATCGATAATACAACCGTACTTCTAAATGACTTGATCACAGATAAACTTCAAACATTCCTTTTTTACGCTATATGTACGTCTAAGTTTTCAATATCAAAACGTGAAAAATATTTACAATTATTCCTGAATCATACTCACAGGTACATTTATATTCCTTATAGATCTGCAGTGACATTGTGAATGTAATGAAATGAACACCACCCGATTCTTTTAAGTACTGACATTTCATTTTTTAAAAATCGTTCAGATCTACGTTAATGGCCTTCTGCCAATTTTTATATATCTACCCCTGATAAAACTGCACGAACGTACAGGTAAAAGTGTATGCATTATGATTGCTTTTCAGTAATCAGCACTGGACTTATTACATTTCCAAAAATATTGAATTTTTTCCATTTTTCTTTTCCGCGAAATATTGTGTTTCCGCAAAATGAACATCAATACTTCTATAGTATAGTTGTTACAAATCTGATAATAAAGATTCTTTTTGAAGACGGGATTACTATTTTCCCGAAAAAAAAAACCTGAAATGTTGCGAGGATGACCCGAACGTAGTAGATTATGCAAGTATAGGCAGGTAAAGGATACCTATGCATACGTGGTGAAAGTAAATTTTGTTTACAAGTACTTTTTGACATATCAACCCAAATAAAGCAAGCAGAGGCTTTTTAAAACAAGAAGCCCACGGGCCTTATAGGTCACCCGAGTATCATGAAACAACTTTCCACCAACTGAATTTGGTTCATGTTTTAAACCAGAGGCAATGAAATTCACAATTTTGAAAGATAATGTTAATGCGGGTGTGACCGGTCGGCAGGGGATGCTCACTCCTCCATGGCACCTGATCCCACCTCCGATGTTTCAGAGGTCCGTGTTTGCTCTGCTCTGATTTTGTATATTGTTTAATGGACTTTGAGATTGAATACTGTTCGTTATCTCCATATCCTTCTTTTCTTAATTGAAAACCTGGTTGCCCCCCCCCCCCCCTCTTTTAGACTTTTAGTGATGCACCGAAAATGTAGTATTAGAATTGGTACTGAAAGTAGTTGACACTGAGAAAAAAGTAACCTACACCCCCCCCCCCCACCACCACCACCACCACCACCACGAAATAGGATTTTCGACTTTGGGCAACTTTTCCCTTTTCCCTTTTTTTTTTGATTGTCAACTTTTTCAGGTAAGTAAAAAAAAATTTTTCTATGGCTGGCCCCCCACTTTCAAAAACGATGCTACGCCACTGTAGTTAGTTTATTTAATACCCAGGATCAGAGAAAATCTTCATGCATTAATGCATTTTCACTATATAATCAACAGAGCCCCGCAATAACACCAGAACCACAATTTTCGAAGAGGCACTCTTGCTCATCTGTTTATTCAATACCCAGGAGCAGAGAAAGAGATATTCAAATACTTTATACATTTCACTATATTACCAATAGAGCCCCGCCCTAACACCAGAACTCCTAACCCTGGGGCCATGAAATTCACAATTTTGGAAGAGGCACTCTTGCTCAAAATAACTATGTGCTTAGTTAGGTTATTTGATACCCAGTAGCAGAGATGAAGAATTTCACCGATAAATTGTATTTTCACTATAGAATTAATAGAGCCCCGCCCTAACACTCGAACCCCTGACCCTGGGGCCATAAAATTCACAATTTTGGAAGAGGCACTCTTGAACATCATAATTTTTGTACTTAGTTTATTTAATACGCAGGAGCAGAGAAGATTTCAAAGAATTAATGCATTTTCACAATATAATAATTAGAGCCCCGCCCTAACACCAGAACCTCCAACCCTGGGGCCATAAAATTCACAACTTTGGAAGAGGCATTCATGGTCATCATAACTATGTACTTAGTTTATTTCATACCCAGGAGCAGAGAAGAAGATTTTTAAAGAAATAATGCATTGTCACTATATAATCTATTTAGCCCCACCCTAGCACTAGAACCCCTTACCCTGGAGCCATGAATTTCATAATTTTTGTAGAGGACTCAATGCCCATTACATTCATGCCAACAGTTCGACTGCTAGATGTCCAGGAGTAAAGAAGATTTTTAAAAATTGCATTGATTTTAGTGGTTTTGGCCGCACCCCTCCGTTTTTTATATTTATGATCCTTTCCTTCCCAAATCAAAACATAAATTTATACATCATATCTAAGGGGGCCGACTATAGTTTTATTGTGTGAAAACTATAATAGCGAAACTCTTCATTTTTATACCATATATAACTTACATTATTCTCTGTGTACATGCAAAGTTTGGGGGAAATCTACCGTCCAGGTAGGGACAGTCTCAAAATACAGGTACATTTACTATAGGATTATATAGGAAAATGCCAATTTTTAGCACTTTAGAGCAAATTATTCAAATACTACAATAGACATTTTGTTCAAACTATAATATTTGATGAGTAATACTATATTATACAATATATGTAAGAAACACAAAATTCTACCGTCTTGTTACCAGAGGGGGCATCTCAAAATGCAAAAAATTAGCAAATTTCACTATTTTTATAGAGTACTACAATTTATGACATACACAATGGATTCACATGAAAACATAATAAAATATTGGAGATATTCTCAAATGTATGTTTAAAATTTCAAGAGCATATGTTTATTACTTTTTCTTAAATAATATTTTTATTACCCCTTTCTTTAAGAGGTACAAATTATCATAATGTCAAAAACACGCTGCAACGACGTCAACATACCTATCAATTGCAAAATCGGTTTAAAAAATCATTTATATCAAATTTTCTTCCATTTTTATACCTATAATTTCTTAATTTTGTTTGATTTTAATAATTAAGCGAAAAAAGTTACATTAAAACAGTAAAACAGTTCATTTTACTATGATGCGCCAAATATTGCGCAATGAAAACTATAGTCGGCCCCCTTAAAACCAAATCAATCCTTATACATGTATATGTTTTTTCAATAGCGGGGTTATTTCAATAAGGCTTGCAATGTAGTTTTGGTATTGTATTGAAATCATTGTCAGCAACTGTTAAAATAATTATTTCAATACCTATATATTGAAATCTTTATCTAAGTCACTATTAGAATCAATATTTCAATCACTATTGAAATCTTTATTTCAATGGTGAACATGATTTCAATAGTGGTTGCAACCTGGATTAGGTTTTGAAATGCATTCAAAACCTCTATTGAAATCATTGCTTCTATAGTGAACGTTATTTCAATAGTGGTTGCAACCTGTGTTGAATATAGAAATGTACTTTCAACCACTCTTGAAATAATTATTTCAACAGTGAAGGTTATTTCAACAGTGGTTACAACTCTTACACTTTGACCAAAATTCTTGCTGAATAAAAATACATGTAAATACCTTTATTAATACCCCAAAATCGAAATAATAATAAACACCGGGGCGGGACACTTTGAGAGGGACGGGCGTGGATGAGAATCTAAAGATTAATTTTATCTGGCCTTATATATACTTTTCTATGTAAATCTTTGATCTTATTGTGGCTCAACCCTGTCCCTATGGCTTATGATTTTAAAAATTTACAATCTACATCCTCCAGGAAACTTTCTCACTGTTCTGGTCCAATTTCCCTGTGGTTCTTAAGAAAAAATATTCTAACAGACTTCGCCTTTTTATTTCATGGTAAAACTAGATTTCCTATTGCTGCGAATCCTCCATCACACAGGGGCCATGATTTGAACAATTTAGAATCTACACTACCTCAAGCGCTTTTAAGTTTTACCCTTTCTGGTCCAGTGACTTTTGAAAAGAATAATTTTAATGATCCCACCCTTAATTTAGCCTTTTTTGAGATTACCTCTCCTTGCAAGTGACTTGGTCCTTCATTTGAACCATACATATTGTAAGTGTACACATATTAGCATATTTAAAATTTAGCACAATCACTTTGTATTGAGCTGTTGGCATATTCAAGAGTAAGTACTACATACTAATATGTCATATATTGGGTACTAACTGTTTATAAATGATTTCTTAGCTGTATTCATGAATTAGTATATCATTGTCCTTGCTAAAATATGAAGCCTGATTTATAAGTAAACATACAGTAACCCCTTTAACATTCAGATGCTTTCTTCCAACTTTGGTTGAAATTTGCCTAATGGTTCTTGAAAAGGTGCCACAGATGAGAGGACAGACATGGGAGAACAGGTGATGCTCCTCCCACAAAAAAGGAGAGGACTACATATTTACAACTATTCAAGTACATGTACATGCAAACTATTCAAAGATACATAATTTCTGTTTATTGATTTTGAAGAACAGACAATGCATTGTAAAGGTCACTATAAAATAAAAGTTATGCTACTCTTCCTATAGATTTGTTCATTTGAACAAAGCTTGGAACAAAGGGATGTTATCCCTTAACATTAAACATTAAAATTCTATGGACAATAGTGTTACGAGAAATAGAACAATGTAAGAAACATTTCACCTCTGATTTTATTTTACTTTTAGTGTGATTTCAATAAATCCTGGTGCAAGTATAATAAATTTAAACTAAAACATAAAAGTATACTTCTACAGTTTTAAATTGATTAGAAAACATCATGAATAAACAACTCATCAATATATAAAACTGACCTTGTTTTCTTTTTGGGGGAAAATAGACAAACAGAAGACAAGCGGTATTCACTTGACAGATGTCTGACATTTTTCTGGTGGAAGCAAATTGGATGTATAGCTTTAATTTGGTGAATTATTACATTAATTTTAAAAATCTTTCACTGGAGTCTGCATAATTTCAAGAAAAAAACATAGGTAATCAGAGATTAAAAAAAAGGCAAAGTACACAATTAACCAACAAAAAGTAAACATTCAAAAATGAAAATATTTTTAAAAGCAATTTAATATTACATAAAAAATTTAAACTACTTCTAATTCATGTCAAATAATGAAGCAAATTTGAGAGTTATCTCTTGATAAAAAAAAAAAGTTTTTGGTAGACAACTTTCAATGTAATTTTTACACACAGAATTCAATTTTAGTTGAATTCATTTCAGATCAATTTTGCTATTTTCAAACCATTCTGTATGCCATCTTGCCTGACATCAACACTTGTTATTTTCCTTTTGCATGAAACTTCAGAATCAAACTCCACATCATAACTCAAGTCTGTTAATATTTTTGTTGGTCTTGTTATAACATTTAATTCACCTTCTTCAGTGATTTTTGTTCCCTCCTGGAAAATTTGTGTAGATGTTTGTTCACTTTTTGTTCTGTTATCAGAAAAGGGTTTGAGATTTTGTTCAACTGGAATAGTTCTGCATTGTCCATAAACCTCTTCTTTAATGAATATGTTCTTGCTTTCATTTGATTCCACACTATGCACAGGAAAATTAATTTTAACCTCCTTAGTTCTGCATTGTCCATAAACCTCTTCTTTAATGAATATGTTCTTGCTTTCATTTGATTCCACACTCTGCACAGGAAAATTAATTTTAACCTCCATCGAGTGTTTATCACTGATTTCAGTCCCTTCTTCCTCCTTTTTTACCTCAGATTTAATACTTACACACTCAACAGTAGGAATCACAAACTTGTGTGGATCCTTCACATAGACATTTAATTTCTTTTCTTTATCAGTATGCATTGATTCCAAAAGAGCTTCTGGTCCCTGGAATTTTGGGATTGTAATATCAAGTAATTTGCATAACTGTAACATCACTTCATCTACATATTCATGAACTTTTAATGTAGCTTTGTTGTCATGCTTGGTTGGCTGTAGATTCACAATAACCAATTTTCCACCCTTTTTTCTGGAGGCCAGTGGAAGGTTTCCACTGGGAACAATTTGCAAAGAAGTTCCAAGTGTAAGATTTAAGTCAGCTTTCCTAAAATGCAAATTGAAAATAAAATCCCCAGTTCATAAATAATATCTAAAAACATGTATATTTCGTAGATTTCTTTACAAAAATTTCAATAAAGATTTGTTTTTTTAACCTGCTTTAGTTAAAGCATGAAGAGATGACAAAAAGTATTATAGTTTGATTGACATTGAGGTACATTATCATATCAATCACTGAAATGAAAAATTATTCCAAAAAATAAAGTTTACCCCCGTTAGTTGTGAAGTTTACAATATTATATCAATTCAGTGTAGTTAATTGGTTTTATTCTTGAAATTGTTCCCTTCATTTTACTGATTTTGTTCAATATCTTCTGTGCAAAAGGGACGTAAAAAGAAAAACAATAGGAGTTTGGGATTCCTTGGGGGCCTGGATACAGTTGCATTGTTTTCATTATAAAATTCTATGCTTATTCAACATGAATATAGAATTTAACAACATTTTTCTTTACATCACATCAAACATCTGTTTTTGTGAACAGGGCACTCTGTTATTCTTCATGTTTAATGTTTATTGTTTCACCAGGTGTGTTAATTTGTTAAGCTCTGCACACATCACTGAGCACGGACTAATAATACTTGTGAAATGGTTTTGCTTTCTACTCTGAATTTTTCTGAGTATGATATGAATATTTTTTATCAGCACACAACTAAACTTACACTTTTCTAATGTATCACGGCTGAAAACGACTCATAAATAGGCATACACCATTTCCAATATTTTATCTAATCAACCAAGGTATACTCTTCACATTCGTTTATGGCACGCGAAATTCACAAAAATGAGCTAAACATAGTTTCACAGTTGATAAACTAGGTTTATCAACTGTAAACTACAGTTTAAAAACCGTGAAGTATAGTTAACAATTCATTAACAATAGTTTTCATCTGTAAAACTATATTTAATGGTTGTTAATTATAGTTTATGAATGCTAATCTAAGTTTATCTGTCTGTAATAACACGTTAACAATAGATTTTGAGAAACATAGATTCACATCTGTAAACAATAATTTACAATCGTGAACTATATTTAAGAGTTGCTAATCATAGTTTCACAAATCGTGAAACTATATTTATCAGATTGTTAACTATAGTTAAGAGTTGTAAACCATAATTTACAAATCGTGAAACTGTACATGTATTTATCAGATAATCTATGTTTTGCAATCACAAATGACTGTTTTCAGTGTTAAGTATAGTTTACAGTTCTGAAACACAGATTATCGCGTTAACTATGGTTTACAGATGTAAAATATAGATTAACGTTGTTAACTATAGTTTACAGTCCATTAACTATAGTTTACAACCGATAAACCTAACCTAGTTTATCGACTGTGAAAACTAGGTTTAGCTCCTTTTTGTGAATTTGGCATGCCATATTCGTTACACCTGACTACTTTATTATCAGATGCTTTAGGTATAAGTACTTCTCACTGGTAAATATAAACTACTTTACTACAGTAATTACGAAATATTTCAAGAGGAAAATACAGAACATTCGGAAAAAATTGAAAAACAAATATTTATTATTGCAAATTTTCTAATCGCCATGTGGGCTACTTGAATGTAATTTTAAGTCGCCCACATGGAATATTAGTCACAAATTGCGAGTGGGCGACTGTTAATTTCAAACTCTGTTATTATATTTAAGCATGAAATCCTTTCACAACATATAAGTCATATTATACTAAAAACTTCAGAAAATATTAACTTCAAATCTCTGTCCAGGCTTCTTTAACAGGGGATTTAAAGGGAATACCAGATAAACAAGGGATTTACATCATTATAGGCAAGGTAATTCTCTGGCTCCCTAGGTCATGGGTACCCCATTATTGTAAAATGTAGTGTATTGCAAGGTACCAGCTATGATACTCAGGCCTACTAAAGTTTTATGAAGTGCTGATCAACTACAAGAAAACACTTTACTTTGCATGTAGGTCTGCCAACTCCAGGTCTCTGTCAGGCAGGGAATCCTCCCAATCCAGGATTGTGTCTCGGAGACGCCCCCTGAAACAATGTACAGGTCAATAAGTACAGGTCAATATCTATCAGAATTGTTTTTATTCCCTATGAAACACTGTATAGTGCTGGTCATTATCTATGATATCAGACTTGTTTTTATTCATGAGTATGTTGCTTTAATATATCTTTATGTTCAATTACAGGCCTCTATGCCTCCTCAACAAAATGTTCCAGACAGATTAACCAATATTAAATATTTCTTCTTCATTACAATAATTTTGTTGTTATATTGCATGATTATAATCATTACAATCATAAGTTTGATTATTCATTGTCCACCTTTAAATGCCTTTAATAGAAATTTATAGACTTATAACTAGGCTGTCGATTGTCTGTTGGGATATTCACGTCATACAAGTACATCTGATTTTTTTTCACAGATTACTGGTCTAGGTCAAATAATTAACTGTGTAACTTTGTTTAGAACTTTGCATTAATAAAATGGAAAACTGTTTTAAACCCAAATTTAGCCTTCTGTGATATTCGTGTTTCATATGCATAGAATAACTATGCCAGTGATTTACCACAGGAATTCAATATAAAATGGTCACCCATGTGGCGCAGTGATTAGAGTGTCTGCTCTAGAGTCGCGAAGTAAGGAGTTCATCCTGAGGTCAGGGGTTCAAATCCCATTGTGGGATGTGAAGACCAGTCCTTCGGATGAGACAGTATAATCTAGGTCCTGATGTTGGCATGAAAAAGATACCTCCCTGTTCATTGGCCTTGAGTGTTGAGTATAGGAAAAATATTTGCAGCTCTCCACCGAAAAGTGTTGGTGTCTCCATATATGAGAGAAAAATTCTCGAGAGGGACATTAAATAACAAAAAATCAATCAATCCATATAAGATACAAAACTAACAATTATATTATTAATACTTTTTTGACTGAAGTCATTCTGTGACAAAGGGAGGTTATACAATGAAATTTATTTTTCTATCTAATCAAATAATCCATATTAAATATAAAAAAATTAGTTTAAATTGAAATTTTACCTGCATTTCCTGTCTCCTGTTTTGATGAACAAGCATGGATTTCCTGTTGGCTTTAAACCCATGGTGGCTACAGCTGAACTGTTTATAAACTACACAGAGAAGGGAAAAGAAATATAAACATCATACCATAGAAATTTTCGAAGAGTTTGTTTGTACCAGTTCAAATCTCCATTCATAGAGACGCAGAGGACTATGTAAAGTTTGAGAAGATTAAGAAAAAATCTATAATTGAATAAAAATTGTGATACCACAGAATTTTGACTCCCTGGAAAAAAGGTACCTTTACAGTACCTGTTTATGATAGAGCTATTCACACTTGCCTGTGTTCCACATTTATCACATTCCTCTACAAACATGTTCCCATGGAGCTCAGACAGCCTGTTTCTGGGAAAACCTGATCTGACATGTAAGCCATCAACATTCTGTGTAATTACATACTTGACAATTCCTAAAAATATTTAATTATTGAATTATATATCCCATAAAGGAAGTACAAAGACATGCAATTTTTATGAAATCAATCCACAGGAGATATCCTTGCACTATTTTTACCTGCTCTCTCTAAAGCCACAAGTGCCATATGAGTTAGAGTTGGCCTGGCATTATCAAAAGTCACATTTACTTGTGGTTTTTCTCCCTTCTGCTCCAAAGTCCATACACCTGTAACAAAAATTTTAAAATAATTAATGCTCTAAATGTAATTTTGAAAATTCACCAGAACATTAATCAATTTCTCAGAGGGAGAATGTCTGCATTGATGTCCCTTTGCTGATACCTCTGGGTCCACGGAAATCCGGGATTCCAGCCGCGGTGCTGATGCCTGCCCCCGTGTGCACAACCAAGTGTCTGCTTGACCTTATCATGTCTGCCAACTGTCCAACTTTGTCTGCTACTACCTCAGAGGGATCAAACTTTTCTGCTTGGCCACATTTACCTTTATGTTCATATGGAGATAATCCATCAGAGTAATTGACAGACATTTTCTTCTGAAAAAAAAAAGAACACCATTTTTTTGTGTCAGAAAAAAATTCTACAGCATCTACTTCACTCATTATTTCTTATTTTTCAATTTGTGACATGATAGAGGTGTTTTTCTTTGAAGTTTACTGTTCTGTATTAGCAATACAGATTGGGACTATGGGCCTTATCCATTACTGTTTATCACTTGATTACATCTTCCCCATGAAATTGTCAAAACTAATCTGACCGAATCTTACATTTTCCTTGGAAAATATATACTGCGGATGCTTACTCCCCGTCAGGGCCTCATCTACAGAACGCTGGCAGAAGTTTGGATGCTGCACAGCTATAAAGTGGGCAGAGCTATTTTTCTTTGATTGATCGTGTCACAAATCATTAAGAGAACTCAACAGGTTCTGTATATACAAATTTGGGGGTGGAGACTCATCCTATGCACTCGTCCATCCCAAATTTGTATCTACGGTACAAAATCCATCTTGTTCTCTAAATAATATACACAGTATTCCTCATCAATCATATGAATAATATGTTTCAGCAAGTCAAAAAATGACATCATTTTGACCCATATTCACAGGATCATGGCAGAACACCGAATTTCTCTGAACTGGATTTCGTGTTTGACTCTGTCACTTAGAATCTTCCGACTTACCAGTTACTGAGCTTGGTAAATGAAAAACAAAAGCTGTTAGCAGAAAAGTAGAAAAACGTAACATTCAGACATTGTAAGGGCCTAAGAGTAGGGGGTTCAGGTAACCCGTCTTACCTATGTAATCGTGCCATTTAAACACAATTTATCAATGTTTATAAACATAATTTTTGCATTATTATTCATATTTATCTAGAAATTAAATATAATGATTTTTTTCTACATTGTTTGAACTTTCGTATGGTATGTGTGTTATGTCATTTTGAAGAGTTTGCATTAAAAATTAACCCGGCCGAAGTTGTGCTAAAATTGAATACGGGGTTTCCCCTTTGATGCATGGCACTGTAGTTTTGTCTCCGCGGCGTTGATAGCGTCATTTTGATTGGCTTTCCGGGAGGCGATTTTTAAGTAATTAATGACATTGACCTATCACAGGAAAGCTTACATTTTGAAGATCAACATTGTTAATGTTGCATCTCAATGCAATGTGCAGAAGTTGATGCATTTTCGTTTCAAAGGAAAGAAGTCAATTTCTTTATGGTAAGTAATCGAAATATTTTTATGCAACATACACTATTAGAAAGCTGAGAAAATTTCCTATCTCAATATTATGGTTTTGTAATAATTTCGGAAAATAATTCACCCGGATTTACAATCAAAAGTCGCCACCCCGACGCAAATTTTGAACAGTTTCTATGTACCTTTAAATTCATGCACACTTTTGTATCGTAAAACCACAAAAGAAAATAGAAATGCGACATTAAATAATATTAGGATCGACTTATTGGAAAAAAAATCTATGAAAAAAATATCATTTCCTACAATGTACTACACATAAACAGGGAGCTATAAACGGTCCCTGATATAAATGTACAAATTTAATTCTGTTGCCAGGATTTCCTCTAGATTCTTAAATACATATAATGTACGCCACTGTGTAATAACTGAATAATCCGAAGTTCTTCTAACTAGGCCCTATAAAAATATTTTTGTTATTAACATGATACTTTGTGGTTATTTTCTTTTTCAGCGAGTATAAACAGTCAGACTTCGGGAAAATGCGAGAATCATTCCATATCATGATCATGGTACCCGCCGGTAGTAGCAGATGTCATTCAACTTTTCCAGGAAGCATGGATAATTTAGACTGAATATATACAATTATTGATTGAAACCGAAAATTTTATATCATGTATTTTAAAGATCGATCTATACAAATTTTAAATAAAGTTGTGAATTAACTGTAGTGAATTTTTTTCCCCCAATCTTTGCCATTTTCATATTAATATTGACAGCTTTCTTCTTTGTGATGTCCAGACAGAACTCTGACTTTTAATGAGCATATTTGATTAAGATCACTATTTTCATAAATCTTTTAAAAGTAATAAATTGTTAAGAATTTATAAAATTTCATTATTTTTTTCCTAACTTAGATTTTGAAAGCATTTTATCAGAAAGACTATATCGGCCATTTTCAATATTGGTGGCCATTTTGGATATTTTGCTGCCATCTTGGATAATTTTTACCTGGCATGAAAACAGAAGATTAGGGCTTGCATAGACCTTTCCGAAAATATATAGTTTGTCATACTTCCAAATAAAATTAGACTTGTTACTTAAAAAACTACCTAGATTTAACGGATTTTTCTTCCTTTTATGTGCCATCAATAGGTACCCTTTAATAGTTAAATTTCCTTACATCATGTACATAAAATAGCAGTATTCACGACATTGATAATTTCATAACTTCTGTTCTACTTGGAATTTTTTCACCAAGTAAAGTTTTTTATATTTCTGAATGTGTCCATGTTTGTGCTAGAATATATTTATTTGAATATTTCTCATCGAAAATTTATACCTGAACCCCCTACTAAGAGACAAAAATATAAATCAAAGACATCTCTGCATGACAATGGCAAAATCATCAATCCATGATTTATTTGCTTCTGTTTCCATTCTTACATCAAAACAACCATACAGGCCTTAAACATGCTAAATAGGCCTATTTGAGATGATTATCCCTAGATAGAATGTTCTATCGTTAAAATGATATTGTCCTACGGACCCGGTGGTGAGGGCCTGTACCGAGACACAGGGTGCGTTCACAGTTCTGCCGCTGGTAGACAAAAGTTGCCGTTGGTAAAATTAATTACCATTGGCATGCCACTGGTACCAATGTTTTTTGCCAATGGTATATTTTTCTGCAGACAGTCTAGAGTGTGGTTAGTGTTGGTAAATGACGTCACAGCTAGTTATCGACATGGCAACAAGCTAGAAAGACTGGGATCCCGGATTTACAATGATATAAACGATTTTTCCTCTAATCCTTTTTAACAAATCATGCCAAAATCACATAAAAATCATATCAAACACTTATATTCATGATTTTGAAGTATGATTTAGACATGATCCTTTAAATGGATTATACAAATACAAATACTTTATTGGCACAAACACAATTACAATAATTGGCAAAGGCCCACTGAACAACATTAAATAATGTTTACATATTTTTTCAAGAATTGTCAAGTAATTGACTTCTAAGATCAAAACAGTCTCTGATATATTTAACAGTAACTTTCAAGACTTTTTGTATATTACTGTTTATACATAATTGTAGCATATATTTCTCATTGCTAAGATTAATATTTTTCTTTGTTATGTTATAAATATTACTAAAGAATGCGTTTCTTAGCTTAGAGTAAGAATTACAGTGAAAAAGAAAATGTATTTCATCCTCAATCACACCAGTATTACAAACATTACAATATCTTTCATTTCTTGATGTGGAAATATATCTACCACTTTCTATTGCAAGTTTATGTGCGCTTAGTCTAATTTTACTAAGAGAGGATCTCTCAGATCTTTTTTTGAGTAAATCAACATAGGGACTTCTTTTTCCTGAGTATACTTTCTTGAAGAGATCAAGTTTTTCTGAACCAAAGATTTTTGATGTTTGCTCTTGAGTGCACTGATCTATGATTCTTTGTTTAATGTTTGGTAAAAGGTGTTGGATGGAACCTGTATATTTTGTAATGTTAGAGAATCCAAGATTATCAAGAATAGAAAATAATTTCTTAGTCCAAGAATTACAGTTAATTGTGGATTGGTAAAGTTTAAAGGCCAAAGAATCAGAAGTTTTCAGGTGATTCCAATATTTGATACTTGAGAGGGAAATTTTGGACCAAAGTGGTAGTCTTTTAAGTTCTGCTAAACAACCAGCATTGGATGTTTTGCAGTGCACTCCAAGGATGTCTTTAATGAATTTTAAGTGAAAATTTTCAACATTTGAAATATCTTTGGATGAGAGATCCACTCCCCATATTTCACTACAATAGAGAAGAACTGGAAGTACGATAGCATCTAAGAGTTTTTCTAAAAGTTTACATGGGTTATCAAATCCAATAATTCTTTTCATTTTAAAACATGCTTTTCTGGCCTTTTCAATAAGCACAGCTGTTGCTAAATTAAACTTCCTATTACATTTCATCATAATACCTAAATAACAGTATCTTGGTACAATTTGTATTGCATTACCATTAAAACTAAATTCATTTCCTTGATGCTTGCCATTTGAATTAAATATCATAACTTTAGATTTATCTACATTAACTTGGAGTTTCCAATTTGAGCAATAGTTACTGAGAATATCAAGACTGGTTTGTAAACCGCTTTTGCTTTCTGAGAAGATTACAATATCATCAGCATATAACAGACAATTTACATGCATATTGTTTACTTGTACAGGATCACAATTTCCATTTTTTAAGTCATGGACAATACCATCAATAAAAACATTAAAAAGTGTGGGGCTTAAGACATCCCCTTGTTTGACACCACACTCAGAATTGAATACATCACTTAATCCATCAGAAAATTTGATTCTACTCATTGTATTACTATACATTGAAAATAAAATATTGAACATTTTTTGGGAAATATTACATTCAAGAAGTTTATAAAATAAACCTAATCTCCATACAGTGTCAAATGCTTTTCTAAGATCAATAAAAGCAGCATAAACCTTTTTGTTTTTGTAGTGGTCAATTATTGTTTTTATTGAGAATAAATGGTCTGATGTTCTACAATTTTCCTTGAAACCAATTTGGTTTTCACTTATCAGTGATGCAGAGTTTACAAATTCAAGTAGCCTAGTATGTATTATTCTGTTGAAAAGTTTTCCTAGATTTGAAGTAATTGATATACCTCGGTAGTTATTAGGATCGAGCCTATTACCCGACTTATACAGTAAAACTAAGTAGCTCTCATTCCAACTTTTTGGGAATATACCAGAATTAAGTATAAAGTTAAATAATTTTTCAAGAGGTTTCAGCATTACAGATCCCCCATTTTTTAACATTTCATTTGATATCATATCTATAGAAGAACTCTTTCCATTTTTCAGGGATTTAAGGGCATTCCTTATTTCAGCGACAGTAATTTCTGGTTCAAGGAAATGGTTATGATGTAGTTTTTCTTTCAAGACATGAAATTTATCTATTATACTTTTATGAAAATTATTGTGATTGTTGTCAGCTTTGTTAAGTTTCTTAAAAAACTGATAAAATTCCTCAGGATGAACATCATGAGATGAAATTTGTCCAGTATTGATTTTATCTAATTTATTGAGTAATTTCCAGAATGACTTTGGATTTTTATTAATATTGTTGTTAATGTCATTACATATTGTGTTTCTGTAATTTTGCTCCTCAAATTTATATAATCTTCTGTATTTTGCCTTGTATGTATAGAACATTTTCCTATATTCTCCATTAAAAGGGTTCTTGTTTACAAGTTTTTCATAATTTTTTACTGTAATTCTCAGATCAGAACATGACTGTGAGAACCACGGTTTTTTCTTATTTTTACGAGTTTTATGCCTAGGTCCTCTCTTAATAAGTTTAGTCGATATTTTTGCACATTCAACAAGTATTGAGCTGAAGGCTTTTGAAATGGAATCACTATCAGAAAATTCATCCCTCAAAAATTCTGAAAATTTAATTTGGAATAGTTTGCTGTGAATATTTTTAGTGTAGGATTCTATTGCATCATTATTCCACAAAAACTTTCCAGGAACTGGTTTTAAATTATTTGAGTTATTTGAGTTTGGTTCTGAACAGAAGCTGTCGAATATTGCACAACTAATTGGACAATGGTTTGATAGGGAAGTAAAATCTAGTACTTCAAAATAACCAATTGAATTTAGAAAGTCTTTTGATACAAGACAATAATCAACTAGACTGCAACCATTATAGGTTATACAGGTGGGTCGACCTGTTAGATCACCTGTTGTTCTACCGTTTAAGATTCGTAAACCCGATTCTTTACAAAGGTTCAGAAGATTTTTGCCACTATTGTTAATGTGCTTGTGGTCAAGATTATTTCTTGACAAAATTTTATCTGGTTGATAAAGAACATCATCTGAATTAATACGTTCAGAATCAAATATAACAAAATCAGGTTGGGTATTGGTGTAGGCATTGAAGTCACCTTGAACTATTACGTCACCGTTTCTACTATATTTTACTATGTCACTTAGTAAAACTGAATATATTTGTTCAATGTCATTCACATTGCCATTAGAATATTGGGGAGATATATAAACTGCTGCAAGATAAATATCTCTTTGTAATCTAAAGAAACTTTGATCAAGTTTGATCCATAAAATATCTGGATGACTATTGTTAATTGGTATAATACCACTTATAATTGTAGGTTTTGCATAAATATGTATTCCACCGGAATATCGTCTTGCCTTTTTATGTTTTTTTCTAGAGCTTGAGTGAACTAAAATGTGATTGGGAAATGCACTGCCTTGATTTGTTTCACCTAACCAGGTTTCAACTAGGCTAGCTATGTGAAATTGTGACAACTGCTCTTGAAATAGGGGGTCTTGGATTTTTTCACTTGAAAGACCCTCTATGTTCCACATACCCAACTTCAAAAAATTTGAATTATTTGCAACATGTTTGGAATATTTTTTCATGGTGTAATATTAGAGATAAAGGATACTGGATTACTCATTTTGAAATTATAGTACATATATTTATATATATATATATATATAAAAAAAAAAAAGATGATTTTATCGACATAGAAGCATGTCTTCTAAGATTACGAATTTAAGAAATATTCGTATAATAGTAACCACATTATACTTATTAAGTAATACATCAGTAAAGTATACAATTATGTGGTTTATGAATTACACTAAACAATAAAATGGATAAATGGTAGTATTAACTACATTAGTAACTGTAGATTGAAGCAAATTCTAGTGCACATAGATCAGTTTGATATCAAAGTTGAAAACCATATCTAAAAGCGTACTAAAAATTACAAATATAAAAGTATTAATTGAAACATCATTTCTTATATAAAACTCATAGATATGGCAACTAAAGAAGTGTGATTCTAATGTGGTTTGTTTGTCGGATACGAGTCTGCCATGATTTTCTTGCGATTCTGGCATGTGCCAATAACTTAGAAGACAAAGAAATCTAAAATTCAGTATTACCAACGTCTCCATTGGACTCCCATTGGTAACATTGGTAAAATTGTTACATTTGTATGCCAATACCCGTTCAGGGTTTATTGGTACAGTTGGTACCATTGTCAAATTATTGTACCAATGGTATATTGAAAGTTGGTACTAATGGTAGAACTGTGAACGCACCCTATGTTAGATTATTCTAACTAGATTATCCCCAGTTTATAATAGCATCCGTCCACATTTCCTCGGACAAAATCTAAACACTTAACCAGTTACACTTTTAACCAGTACTTACAATGACCAGTTGCTGATAAACAACAGATAAATCTCGTTCCTGCAAATTAATCTACAGGCTAGGTAAAACATTTTCTAAGCATTGTAAGCATCTTTGATGTCCCTGGATAAATTCAAAATTGATTTTTGATGTTGAGTTTTCTAAATGTAAAACCAATATCGTTGACGTTAAATTTCCGATATAACCTTAATTGTTGGTCCCTTAATAAATGCTTTTAATAATTTTCATTTTTGTCATGGAAACCTTAAAGCATCATAAAAACATAATTACTTTTGTACCATGTGTTTGTTGCATAATACGAAATGTTAATTGCACGAAAATATATTTCTGAAGCAATCGGAACACCACTCGGCCTTTTCCGTCTCGTTTTTTCTTGACTTGACGGAAAAGGCCGAGTGCTGTTCCGATTGTGCATATAAGTAACGCCCCCCCCCAATTCAGAGTAAAAATAATTACGGTGGGAGAACAGTCCCCGTTTTAAAAGGAAATGGATGAACATTCCGCACGAATTTCCATTCTTATGTTGATACGATATATCCCAGTGAGCTTGAAATAAAAGATACCATAGGATCTGACACATCTGTATTCTATATTTATAGATATTTTGAAAAAGACGTTCATTGTAATCTAACAACAAAGCTTAATGACAAACGAGATTACTTTAACTTTTCAATCGTCAACTTCCCTTACTTATGCAGCAATATACCCTCATCGCCTGTATACAGGGTTTATATATCTCAGTTGATTTTATACGCAAGAGCATGCTCTACGTTGAACAGTTTCTAAAACGAGGTTAGTTATTGTCAAACAAGTTGCTGAAACCAGAATATCAGCAGTCTCGTTTAAAGTCATTCGTAAGTTCTATGGTCGATACAATGACCTTGTCAGCAAATATAATTTATCATTGAGTCAAATGCTGACTGACGTTTTTCATACTAATTGTTGGTCAATTATTTATATGTACTGAATTGACGACGGATTTCTCCATTATTTCCCGATAATGACAAGAAGCATACGGCGGGTGTGACCGGTCAGCAGGGGATACTCACTCTTCCATGGCACCTGATCCCACCCCTGATGTTATATGGAGATCCGTGTTTGCTCCGCTCCTATTTTGTATTGTTTTATGGACTTATCAAAGTGAATACTGTTCACGATCTTCATATCCTTCTCCATACATTTCATGAAACCTGGTGTTAGGTGTATTTAGTTATACTGACTTTTATATTTAGGTTTAAGGGGGGACCTATGTCCGAAAAGTCTTTGTGTGAAATTTTCAAAACTTTGACATTTCTTTCCTGACCACTTGCTCTTAATTTTTAGGTATTAAAAACAATACCTTTATTTGCTTATTTTTACACAGGAGCACGTGCAAAAACAGTGTAAAATGCTAAAAATAGATTATTTTCAGACATTCTTGTTCTACTCCAAATATGCGCAAAAAAGAACCAAAAATGTCAAATCACATTCGAAATCAACATGTATTCAATTTATATGACTCGTATCTTTAAAACGAAGGTAAATTCATTAAAATCTATTTCGCAAGAAAAATTATAAAGGCGCACAATCTACGTATCACCCCGTTTTTTCTTGTCGTATTTTTTACAATTCCGACATGCATTACAGGTAATATCTTAAAAAGTCTTTGTATGAAAATGTTGTAATTCGAATATTTTTAAAGAAACGATTCATCTTTTTATTTTAACAAAGAAAAAAGTATACCTTTTTGATAAAATAAACGAGAAAAATGACATTTTCTTTTATTTTAGTACTCTTGTGTCATAAATTTTGACCTTTCTGCACTAAAATAAAGGTAAGTAAACACTGACAAACATCAGAATATAAAATTATTTTGCGAAAGACGAGTATTTTGTTTTGATTTAGAAACCATTTAAACAGATTCATTCTTTTCTTCTTGATTCTAATCATTCTGCCCCCCCTCCCCCATTTCCCCATCAACAACGAACACCTATTAGAATCTAGGAATGACTTTATACAACAAAATCTGCATGTACTACAAATCAATAAGCAAATAAACGTACAAGCACATTTCTAAATTTTTTCTTAGTTTTATCCAGAAAATACAATTAATGGTTAACATAAAATTAAACATATTTCCCTGATTTAAGCCGCTTTCTTTGCTGAATTTTATCTTAAATCTTTTGCACTTATATATATCAGCATATCATCGGGGTATTTCTTCACAACTTAAAATGCTATGAATTATCTACCAAAGGAAGAGAATTCTAATATTAACAAACTCTATAAATAAAATAAGACTGTAATTAATGATGAATTAATTTTCTTTTTTGTAAATTGTGTATGTTATTGATTAATAAAAATGTTATTCCTATATCACTATTGCAAAAGTCAACAGGTAAAAAACAAACGTCGATATTGTGACGTCACATAACGCTGCTTTGACGTAGAACGACATAGGTCCCCCCTTAAAGAATGAAACATTTTACATGTAGAAGAAAATATGATTTTTAAAAACGAAGTTACATCAATTAGGTACAATATCAAAACAACCTTTATTTATCCTATACTGATATCAAAATGAAAAAGGTTGTAATACTAAAATTATCCGGCCACATATGGAATCAAAATAAATAAATCTCGAAGATAAAAACAAAATGATTACTTTAATCTTCAATTCAAATGAAACGAATATAAAATAGATAATACAATGTACCTATTTACATTTCATTGGCACTTATGGAATTCATAATTTTTGTTTTTAAACTCCAACAAATGTATTTGCAAGTTTTATCTCATTTGCGATCATTTAATACAAAAATGGATGGAAATGACATAAATTTATTGGGTGCATAATGCAGTGTATGTGTATAAAACTATATACAATGTATATTTTTCGAAGCCAGCGAACAGAGTTTATAGAAATTGCACATTTCCCAGCAAGACAATTCATCAAAATGAATTTTTAAGCTAATACTACAATATATAAATATACAAATGAAAACCATGAGAGACAAGGCAAGATTTTTTCTGAAATTTCATATAGATATCGTCATCTCACCGTGCACATTAAAAGTATTCAAGAGAAATCACGTGAAATATACTTCTTTAAAATAACTTTTCAAATTAATATAACGCTCAACAAGATCAATATGTAAATTGGTATAAAATGACAAATCCAAGATATAATTGGTTTCAACGATACGTCAATTGAACATTGTGATATATTTACAAGGCACTAACTTTGATTCGGTGTATACCTGTGTAACAAAATACATCAAACAAACAAAGGCAAACAATCGAAACAAAAATAAGAATGAAAATATACTTCGAACTCTTTGCATTAAGTCTATAGAGGAATAATATTTTCTTTGACGGTATTCTTATAACATGTGCTGCAGTTGAATAGCCGAGGATGAAGATTGTGTCAGTTTAGGGCTTCCCATGATTACTGCGTATTCGTTCAGTGTCTGCAAAAAGAATACAGAACGGACTTGTACACGAGACTTCTTTATTCTCAACAAAGAAAATTACAATCGTCTCTATACATGCAACATTTTATTCCTAGACAGGAATACATGAACAAACCATTGGAGGTTCCCTGTATTTTTTCAAGAACTGGTGCAGGAAGTTGAATAAAATACCTTATAAATGAGAGCGTATTGTTCCTTGTTTTGCACGATTCCAGCACGCTCTTTTCGCATGTTGCAGACACAACCCAATATATCTACTACCCTCTTGTTTTCGTAGGAGCGCATACAAATATCAATGGCGATTAGAGTCCCTGTCCTGCCTGTACCCGAACTGAGAAAAAAAATTAAAAAATATATACTAAACACGATCGTCGATACATTTCTGCTCTTTACTCGATATGAAAATAATATCTATGGAATTCAGATATCTACGGAAGCCTTTTTACAGTTTTAGGGGCTACCAAAATTACATTTGAATTTGTTATAAAGAATAACAATTTTCTTGATAGTGTTCACTAAATGTCTAGAAAGGTGACCGAATGGCGGAGTACTAGGCTATAAGTGGGTTATGCCAGCATTGTAATATAAGATAGTTAAACTTGTATTGTACTATAAGTGGGTTATGCCAGCATTATATGATAAGTGAGTTATACTTGTATTGTACTATAAGTGGGTTATACCAGCACTGTATTATAAGTGAGTTATACTTGTATTGTACTACAAGTGGATTATACTAGCGTTGTATTATAAGTGAGTCGGACGATTTGAAATCACAAGACTTTACCAAAATCAACAGCTTAAAAACTTACGACTTTTCAACTTTATCCACTATCATTCCCCACGATAAGTTAAAGTCCAGACTTTTCGATATCATTGACAGCTGCTTTTTCAATAAAAATGGAACTCGTAAATTTACTTACCTTGTCATTGGTCATTTGCAAAATTATTTAGTTAAAAACATTCTCATTGTACACACAAGCACTCTGAAGTCGATATCAGAAAGATGCTTGAGTATCTGATTGACAATACATGTATCTATGTTTTTTTTTGGTGACCAGATCTTCCAACAATCTATTGGAAATCCCATGGGTACCAACTGCGCCCCGTTATTAGCAGACATATTTTTGTATTCATATGAAGCAGAAATTGTGCAAAATCTTATACGTGAAAAGAGAAAAAAAAAACACTTGCTGTGGCCTTCAACTCGACATTTAGATAAATCGACGACGTATTGTCAATTAACAATTGTAATTTCCATTCTTATGTCGATACGATATATTCTGGAGAGCTTGAGATAAAAGATACCACAGAGTCTGACACATCTGTTTCATATTTGGATATTTTACTTGAAAAAGACGTTAATGGTAATTTAACAACCAAGTTCTATGATAAACGTGACGACTTTAACTTTTCAATCGTCAACTTCCCTTACTTATGCAGCAATGTACCTTCATCACCTGCATACGGAGTTTATGTATCTCAGATGATTCCGTACGCAAGAGCAAGCTCTATGTATGAACAATTTCTAAAACAAGGTAAATTATTGACAAACAAGTTGATGAAACAAGAATATCAGCAGTCTCGTTAAAGTCATCATTTGGTAAGTTCTAGGGTCGATACAGTGACCTTGTCAGCAAATACAATTTATCATTGAGTCAAATGCTGACTGACGTGTTTCATACTACATGTAATTTTTAGTTCATTATTTATACACTAATTTGACGACGGATTTTTCTATTAATTTCCTGATTATGACAAGGAGCACACGGCAGGTGTGACTGGTCAGCAGGGGATGCTCACTCCTCCATGACACCTGATCCCACCTCTGCTGTTTTGGAGGTCCGTGTTTGCTCTGCTCCTATTTTGTATTGTTTTATGGACTTTTGATCTTGAATACTGGATTACTAGTATTCCAGCATTGTTTATAAGTGAGTTATACTTGTATTGTACTGTAAGTGGGTTATATATCTGCATTGTGGACTATATCTGGATTGTAAGTCATATCTGCACACTAGTAATACTATAAGTGGGTTATACATGTAGTGAAAGATCAATGGGTTATACTTGCATTGTATTATTGGTGTGTTATACCCACAAACTATAAGTAAATTATACATGCAGTGAAGTATAAATCTGTATATAACTATCAATGTTTATTCCTACAATGTACTATCTATGGCTTATACCTACAGTGTACCGTCAGCGGCTTATACCTGCATTATGCTATCAATGGGTTTTACCTGCATTATACTATGTCAACAGGTTATACCTGCAGTGTACTATCAATGGATAATACCTGCATTGCACTATCAGTGGGTTATACCTGCACTATACTCTATCAACGGGTTATACCTGCATTGTACTATCAGTGGGTTATACCTATGCTATCAATGGGTTATACCTGTATTATACTATCAATGGGTTTCACCTGTATTTGAACATCAGTGGGTTATACCTGCAGTGTTCTATCAATGGCTTATACCTGTATTATAATATCAATGGGTCATACATGCAGTGTACTATCAATGGGTCATACATGCAGTGTACTATCAATGGGTCATACATGCAGTGTACTATCAATGGGTCATACATGCAGTGTATTATCAATGGGTCATACATGCGGTGTACTATCAATGGGTCATACATGCGGTGTACTATCAATGGGTCATACATGCGGTGTACTATCAATGGGTCATACATGCGGTGTACTATCATTGGGTCATACATGCGGTGTACCATCAATGGGTCATACATGCGGTGTACTATCAATGGGTTATACCTGCAGTGTACTATTAGTGGTGCCCCACTATCCTCATAATGGACACGTGTGTCTAGGATAAGCTTTATCACTGATATTGGTTCTGGGACAGAATCCACAGGCCAACTTGTGAACCAGAAGTGTCGAATTTCTCTTAAAAGGTTGTTCTACAAAGAACCAAACCACAAAGAACATCACATTTTTTTAACGACAAAATATTATAAAAAGCTAACATTTTCTACACTTCAAACAAAGAAACTCATGGCCCAATCAATCTTTTGCTATTGTATATTATATGTAGGGGAAAAAGACGTGATTTACAACATAATCTAAAATTACCGATTTGTAGTAAAGCACACAGACTTCCTATGCTTTTATGTAAAAACTGTGCACAGCCATTTTAAAATGTTTTTGATAAATTACAGTCAAAATAGCAAAAGCAAATTAGTTATAAAACGAAACAATAGTCTTACATAAACAAAATCACAAGAACAAGCAACCTTACTTCTATATCTTTAACTTCCAGCAATGACATAATGTACTCTTGTCTAACTTCTTTCTTTTTCAGAACAAGTACAATATCGCCGTATCGAACACGTCCATTAATTCCCTCCGTGTCTGGAATATAGTGTGGGTCCCGGGGCTACAATAACAATACAATTTCAAGGTTTTTACTAAAAGAGAGTCCTGAAGAAAATTCTAAATATGGTTACATTGTGCAATTCACAAAATACTTTTTTTTCGAAACAAGATGTCTTATATTCAAAAGCGTTTTAACAAGTGGGGTTACCTTCTCTAAGCATTATTAGTTTGCGCTGCAAGAGAGCACTACCACAGTCATCATGATAAGACTAATTTTAAATAGGAGGCAGGGTATCTTGCTAATTAAGGTAAGATTTTTATATCGAGATCATAGCTTATCCATTTCTGTTTGAAACATATACTTTTTAATGTTGATTTAAGAATTTCTCTGGTGATTGGGAATTAAATCGATAAATAACCAAACCGGCTGCATTTCGTTGACAGCAGTGATCATTATGATGACCCGACACTGTTGTTCCCAAACCATTCTCCAAAAATCTGCAATTGTATTGGGCAGAGGGGCCTGTGTAGCAATATAGGCATGTAGGTCACTTTTGTATCCCTACAAGAAATGGTCAATAGAGGAAATTAGTCTCTACATTGTACAGAGTAATGTTGAACTGTAATCACCGCTAGTAGCTAGTATACTTACTGTGACAAAATTAGCATTGATGTATTCAGAGTGTTCTTCGTGTTCTAATTTCTTTAGCTTAACACGTGAATGTGTTTCTGTAAGAGAAACAATGTTCAGAAAAGAAAATTAAAAAAATAAAACAAAAATTAAAATCATTAATTGAATCATGCATGTATTTAAAATAGCAAAATAGTTATTATATCAGAAGTGTATTATATCTACATTATATTTTTTTCAAGTTGGCAATTCCAACTTTGATTTTTGCTTTTCAAGCTTTAAATTCTAATTAAACGTTTGCAATTCTTATTCTAAAGTTGATAATTCGAAACTAAATCTTGGCTTTTCCTACTTTAAACTAAAAAATTTTAACCCTCAAGGTGGTATGCCCATCTTGAACGCTAGCTTTTTAAACGTAAATGCTGTAACAATATAACACGCATGTAACTCTAGTCTATATGACGTTATTTTTGTAAATGTATAAATTTCAATCAAACTGACTATTGGCTTACGTGGAATTACGTTGGCATATCTGTTTTTATCCTCAGCTCCAATTGGGACACAGGAAAGGCTTGGCATTTCATATGGGAGTTTCTTTAAAAAGATGAGCTTAGCATGTATCGTGTAATTCGAGTTTATCCCATAACAACTCAAAGACTTCAAGGTGTACTATGAGTACATGTACTTACGTCGAATTCCTTGTAGATTTCAACCATATCTCGAGTCATGTTCGACAAATTGTTGAATCCAAGAGGATTTGAGCATGACGAAGTACTCTGCAATTTCAGAAATTTTAACCCAATGTTATTTCTAAATTCTATCTTTTGGGACCTAAATCAAAGCAACTGACACCAGGAAGTAAATATTGAATTCTGAGATAGAGTTACTAGTACCTCCTCATTGTTCTCTAAACCAGGATTCCAAAAACCACTGTGTGGCCTCGACTTTGGAACAGCATTAAGTGCAATGGAATCTAAGCTTCTCAGAGAAAAACGATTGGAGCCTGGGAGAAAGTTCTCTGAACCTTTATTGCTTCTTCTGTGCATCAGAATCTGCATAGAATGTTCAAAATGGTCACCATGTCAAGTGAAGCAGAAGTTTAGATGTGCATGTTATGTTGCAAGTTGAAAAATATGTAAAGAATTTGGTTTTATGGGATATAATTTTTTCAAAACTTTGACGACATTACCTGTAACATAATCAGACAAACACAACAGACGCCCCCGATGATAACAATGATAATGGCAATGGTCATGCCAGAGTTGAGACCTTTGTCTGATTCGTCTTTCTGGTTTTTGTTGACATAGGAGTTGATAAGATGGACATTCACAAGCTATTATAAAAAGTTTCAAATGAATATGAGCAGCAAAGACTTAAAACAAATCCACAATTTTTTTCCCACAAAATTTGGTTGTTTGAAACACTAACCTTTTGACCATATCGAGACTGGGAGGTTGAAAAGCCAGTTCGAAGAAATTCGGAAGAATCTATTGTCAGTTTTACGTCAATCTGTCCTTTAATATCAGTAACGTATAAATCCACAGTAACGATAGTAATATCACCTTTCGGTCCAGAATCAATTCTGTTTTCATTGACTTTGTCGTAACACAACTGATTGATGAACTTAATCTGCTTTTCCTCAAACTTATCCATTTTCCGCCTTATAATCTTTGTCAAGTCTTTCAGGAACGTTGATTTTTCTGAACAGAACTCGTTCAATGTCATACGGAACTGCATGCTAATATACACAGGAGGCACCAATGGCTGTGTTGTGAAAGTATCACCTGGTTTCTCGGGAGGTTTTGGAGTTTCTGTGGGCTTCTTTGTGGTTGGAGCATTAGTTCTTTGTTTTTTAGTTGTGGACCGGGAAAGTGTTGGATACGGTCGTCTTGTAGTTACATTTTTTACTGTAGGACGTGTCGAGATGGTGGTGGTATTTTTGAGAGGACTTTCGAGAGTTGTAAATGTTTGACTGATCTTTGATGATTCTATTGTTGTTATTCGATCCTGCTTTTGTAATGTGGACATATCGTTAGAAGATATTACGTCTATTGTACTATTTTCAATTGACATTGTGGGATATTGGCTTAAAGCAGAGAACGATGATTTAGAACTTTCTTGGCTTACAGTTCTTTCAGATGGCAATGTTTTGGAATAAGCTGCAGTGTGCCCAGGAGATACCGTTCTTTCAGATGTTACGCTGGTGAGAACCTCGGGTATTCTATTGGTTAACTCCCCGTCACTGACAGTGGGATGGGTGCTGCTGAATTGAGAATGCACTGTTTTCCATAGCTTTGTGGTCGAGTTTAAATCCGCTTCAGTATGAGCAAGAGGTAGACGACTGTGTGATATTTCTTCGATATTAGTATGCTGTGTACTAGTAATGCTATAATGTTGGGTTCTAGATTCAGATACAGTTGTTTGAAAATCCACATTTATTTCTTCTGGGACAGTTGGGTAAGTTGGTTCTCTCTCCTCAGCTGTAGCTTGAAAACTTATTAACTTCTCATTTTCTTTTGTAACTTTGTCATTATTTTTTTCCGTTACGTATCCATTAATACTCGAAGATATACTAGTACCCAGGTCCGATGACTCTGTCATCGGTAAAACTGTTGTTGTAGGAGGAACCTCCATTGGTTCTGTTGGAATGTACAGAGTAACATGTGGTACGGGTTCATCGGGTCTCTCTGTCCTTCCACTGATTTCTGGACCAACCTCTGTTGCAGCATTAACTTGTGTGGATTTTTGAAATATGGATTCGGTTGGCTCAGGATTTATTTGTTCTGTTGGTAGCCTGATGGTCATTTCGGGTACCACTTCGGTAGGAGGAAATGTTCTACCTTCGTTGTTTTCTCCTTGATGAGAATTTGTACTCGAATAAATTGGTCGAAATGTTTGAAATTCATCTTTGTTTGTGGAAGAAGTCAATGTAGATCGAGTCCTTATTGGTAGTTCTTCATGTATAACAGACACCTTTCCATTTAAGATTTCTTCGGTTGGAAATATTTCGCGAGTTGTTGATTTCGTAGAGAAATCTCTCACGGTAACCTGGTGAAGCACGGGCTCTTGAGAAAAGTTGGTTATATGCGAACCTTCTTCATGTGAGTTCTGAGTAGTTGTTTGCCTACCAGTATACTCATTTGGTAATTGTCTAGATTCTGGTGTTTGTTGAAGAGGTTGTTCTGTGATTTCGTGTTGATGAGGTGCTTTCTGTGGAAGGGTCATTTCAGGAATATCACCTTTGGTACGATATTTATTCTCTTTGGTATGTAAAGTTTCCGTAACTGTTGTATTTTCATGGCTTAAATAATCAACTGTATTGTTAACGATTTCTATATGTTCAACGTCAGGATTTTCCCCCGAAATGTCTATTGTGGCTAAGGGAACAATTTCTGTTGGTAAGGCGAATGTGCTATGTCTGTTTTCGAGAACATTATCGCTGTTATTTCCTTCATATTTAGCACTCGGTTCCACTACAGTTCCAGAATCAGGATCAATTTGTGGAAAAGGTATGTTGGAATGAGGAGTTTCTAAAGGAGTAATTGTTGTTGAAGAGTTAATTTTTCTTGTGGTACCATGATTTTCTATCTTAATTTCATTATTGTTTAGGTGGAGATCTTGAAGATTAGTATCATTAGCATTCAGAATCTCAGGATTTGGTTCATCTGGCAATCTTCCTCTCTCCGGTCCTTCGTTTGATGGAGCATTTCCCAAAGACAGTGATATGTTTTGTGTTTCAGTAAAAGGGGAAGGTAAAACTGTGCGCTTCACTATGGGGATGAGTTTTTCTTGATTTTCACTTTGTCCAAAGTTAATGTTTGATGATTCATTCCGATCACCAACTTCATTTCTACGACCTAAGACCTCTTGTCCTAAATCTATGTCATTTTTTCTTCCGTGAATTTGAATGATGTTTTGATGGGTTGTAACATTAGTCCCGTTCAAAGAATTCGTCGTAGAATTTAATTCAGCAAGATGTATATGTGTATTTAACTTCTGGTTTGGCACTATATCAGATTCTCTTGATATGTTTTGTGTAACTGAAGAATTCTTTTGCAAATTACTTTTGATTGTCTGAACTAAGACACCTCTTTGATTGGAAACTAAGTTTTCGTTTTGAATTATATCCTGACGTTGTTGTAGCTGAGGTACCGTGTCAATATCCCTCCTCCTGGGACTATTTTGGATGTTGTTTTCTAAGAACGGTGGTAAATATTGTTGGTCTTGAGCACCAACCCTATCCCCGGCGGGATGTACCTGCTGGTGTTCCTGCGATTCTTCAGCATGTGGCTGGTTTCTCTCAAACACTGGGTTTCCTACACATTCTTTAAACACGCACAGTAAATCTGTAATTACCACATAACCTTACAGAGTATGTGAAAAAATTAAATGTTCTTAATTACATTGAGTAAAGGTTTTTTTCTGAATATATCTTCTATACATAATCAATAGTGTAAACAAAACATTCATCAGAAATGTCGTTTATCTATTAACTTATCTGTATGCGAATTTGTTACTCAATAAATTATCGCTTAGTATATAGCCATCTCATTGCCTTAATTTTGATAGAGATAACATCGTACATGAAAGTTATTTTTACATGTATGAGTGAACACCTCGATTAGCAAACTGAAGTGATCTGCATATGAAATTCAGACCAGTTTTAACGGAATGTTATTTCTCGTTGATGTACATATCATAAGTATTTCACATCAGTTCTGTCTTATTCACAATTTATAACTGACCATACATACACACAATAACAACCCAGGTATTGGCGACGGACGGCATCGACAACCACAACTAAAGAAACTCCAGACAGGCATCAGTATCCACCAGCAACATCTGAAAGAATTAATCATTATAGACTATCATCACTTCAAAAGTTCTTGATTTAATTCAAAGTGAGGCTTGCACATTTTTTATTGATTTAAATGTCACAATTTCTTTATATGAAGTTTGAAGTCTCACTCAAAAAAATTGTTCTGCTTCAGACAGTCATTAACTTTTTAAAACTTCTAAATGATTTCCCAATATTAAATCAAGAAAATTCCTTCCATTGTTAATATATATATATGTTATGATAAGAATCTATGTACATGTATTAAGCAATTTAGTGTTTTTAATTTAATTTAATTTTATTTATTCATTTAAGAAAATGCTATCAGTTCAGCTTGATTATTTACTTGTAAGATGCACGAATTTCATTTCGAAGTAAAATTTTTTTTTAAAAGAGTGAGTGAATGTATGTAAAAACATTTAAAAATGGTAATTCACAATTTTCCTCTTATTTTAAGGTATGAAAAACTTTTTATTTGCCTTGAAAAATTCGAATAAAATGTTAAATTTTAACAAGAAAGGTTAGTATACGACCCAGATAAAAATCTGCGCACATACTACTCTATATCTTTTGATACATATTTATAAGTTATAAGATAAGTATATCTGTATGTAGTCAGGCTCCACAACAAATTCAACATATTATATTTTTTCAAAGTAACTTACTTACAGGTCTAAACATATTAGTTTCATTCAACATATTACATATATATTCCGTGACATACTTTGAGGAAAAGACTTCAAATTTTACGCCATATATAATGGATAATATAGCTGCCATTGAGCAAAATCTTTATTCATTTTTTATTTTTAAAGTTCAATATATTTTTTTAAAGTAACTTACTTGTAAACTTTTTAGTTTCATTCATACTCAATAAATATACTGAAATAATAAATATTTACCTTATTAGTTTCAGGGATGGTGGGCCTTTATCGAACTAAAGTTATCACATGATACAGGGAACTTATTTAATGCAGGTCAAATCAACAATAATGATAACATTTATTAGACCTATATGGCTGTATCATAATTAGGCGATAGCAGCGTGGTTTTCTTGGTACATAACTATTTCGAGTATCAATAAAATGACTTTCTTAATATAATACCATAGATTACTTACCTTTGCTGGATTTACTGTCTCGAGAGATGTTTATATTAAAAAAAAATGAATTTAAAAAGATTTCATCACAAGCATTGGACTTTCAACGTTATATTCCGTCATAAATTACAAGATGTTTGTATTCGATGGTGTAATACTAAAATGGAATATATTTCTTTGGTTTAATTAAGAGGGTAAGGAATGCACAGAAGTTTTTTGTGAGGACAGGATAATTAGATCGTCACTCTGAATAGCTTATTTCCTGACCCACTTGCTGCTGGGGCGGAAGTTTTGTTCTGATACTTAAAATACTAGCCAAGACAGAAGGTGAAACCGTGTCTTCTGACTAGTGTTTATATAAATAATTTTTTGGGAGGGATATCAAGTATCATCCATAACCAAATCAATCTCGCAAACCAAAACTAAACTCGTTATCGGGGTATCATTTACTGAATTTATCGTAATTATGGAAAACGATTGGGACAGATAGTAAAACATTTACAAAACGTCACTATGAATTCGGGAATATGCAGTGTATTCTTTTAAGCCTTTGGTGGAATGCAGTACAATCAAGTACAGTGACAAATGTCTGGAGTGCATATTTAATCAGCTTTCCCTTACTTGTTGAAAAGTCAATTTTCTCCAAATATTGTACACGCTAAGAAAAATACATTTACAGTAAGTATAGACAATGACCCGTCTGATTTCGTGAGCAAACTTCGGCCAGCTTTATAATTGGGGTAGTCCGCTTTTCTGCTCCAAAATTAAACTAAGATATAGGGATACACTGTAGTCAGCATTATTCAAGCTCACATGTCCCAATAAAAATCAGGAGCAGAGCCAGCATCAGATGTCGGATTAGGTGTCACGGAGAAGAAAGCATTGTTTCTTTGTTTATAAATAATGGTCCTCAATTTGAGAAGTTTAATGAATCTCAATTGAGATGCCAGCACTTTCTGGTCGATGGCTGCAAAAGACCTTTATCCGTCACTCCAGGTCACTGAGCAGCGGAGGGTCTTTTTTGTACCAACACCTACTACATGTACGACACGGGACCTCATTTTAAACGGTTTCACACGAAGGACGGTTCTCCACCACAAGGGCCTGTTCCCAGCGTGTACGTACGAATTATATACTGAAACGAAAAAGAAACGCGGGGTAAACCTTTGAAGTAATTTAAAGTTTTTTGTTCGAAAATATTTTCCAGAATTGTTATCTTTAACCTTTAAGGTTAAAGTTTTTCTAATACAAATCAATCCAAGGTCAATATATCAAAATTGCTGCAACAAGGAATACATATAAGAACCAGCACCAATTCGTTCAGTGTTAATGAGAAGGTAAAACTCTAAAAATAAAAGGGCCAAAAAATGGTGCCCAAGGAAAGGTTTCACAAGGAATACATAATTGAAATATAAAAGCCCTAGCAGTTATAATATGCCCAAGGTTAAACCTTCCCTAAAAAAGTCAAACTCCAAGGTCAAGGATAAAAAGTCAAAACTTCAGGTATCAACGGATAGGGCTTGTCAAATGAAATACGTTTAAAACTTGAAAGCCATAGTTCCAACAACTCAAAATTTATGGCCAAGTTTAAAGTCTTTCAAAAGAAGGTCAAAAGTCAAAGTTTAAGGGTATAAACACTATATTTAGTTTTTAAATTAATTCAAAAAGATGATACCGTGCTAATAAATCATGTTCCGTTTTATTAGCAATCCAAGAGATGTGTGCTAAGAAGCACAGGGTGAATAACTCTATTTTAAAGCAAGATGAAGATGCTATTACAGTTATCTCACGTTAGACATATATGATGGCATTATTGTATAAATTGAAATTTATTAATTACTTTTAATATATTGATAAACATTGGACATTCCCCCACCTCACCGCCCGAAATATTTTCTATATTTGTATATTCTACATATCTTTTAGACCATTCCAAATTTTATTTTCTTCGTGAAGCGCCTACTCCTAATTCGAAAACCTATCTTTCCATCTGGAAAATCCAAAAGGGTAAAAACCATTTTTTAAAAACACAATTTTAGAATTTCTCATCGATTGAGAAGTCTATAGTATAGGAACTTTATTGTGTACATTTTTAATTTCATAACCTCAAAACCAAGCCGACCACCGACGCTAAACATTTAAAAAAACCAAGCAAATTCAAAGAATTGTGGTCCCCCGCTTTCGGTGTCTTTGTGGGTGAAATGTTATTTTTATGACATATTGTGTGTAATATGAACATCCTATCATATGTCATTTATTTAGAAAGTAACTCTGAAGTTGATTTTTTTGAAGGATGAAAACCCTAATCCTGACCGTTAAAAAGTTATGGCCAAAGTAAAAAGTTTTTTAAAAGTAGGTCAACTCCAAGGTCAAGACCAAAGGGTGAACGTTGTTGATATCCAATGAAAAGTTTTCTCACAAGGATTACATATGTGAAGTATGAAAGCCCTAGCCCTTACTGTTTAAAATTTATGGTCACGGTTAAAGTTTTTTCATAAGTACATATATCTTTAAGGTCAAGGTCAAAAGGTCAAAGTTGTTGATATCCAATGAAAGGACTTGCCACAAAGAATACATATGTAAAATATAAAAGTCCTAGTATCTACCGTTCAAAAGTTGTGACCAAAGTTTAAGTATTTTTAAAAAGTAGTTAAAACTCCAAGGTCAAGGTCAAAGGGTAAAAGTTATTGATATCCAATGAAAGGTCTTCTCAAAAGGATCACATATGTGAAGTACAAAAGCCCTAGTCCTCACCGTTCAAAAGTTATGGTCAAGGTTAAAGTTTTTTCATAAGTACATAAATCTCCAAGGTCAAGGTCAAAATGTCAAGGTTGTTGGTATCCAATGAAATGTCTTGCCACAAGGAATACTTATGTGAAATATAAAAGTCCTAGTATCTACTGTTTAAAAGTTGTAACCAAGGTTAAAGTTTTTAAAATGTAATTAAAACTCCAAGGTCATGGTCAAAGGGCAAAAGTTATTGGTATCCAATGAAAGGTCTTCTCACAAGGATTATATATGTGAAGTACGAAAGCCTTCGTCCTCACCGTTCAAAAGTTATGGTGAAGGTTAAAGTTTTTTCATAAGTACGTAAATCTCCAAAATCTCAAAAGGTCAAGGTTGTTGTTATCCAATGAAAGGTTTTGCCACAAACAATACATATGTGAAATATGAAAGTCCTAGTACCTACTATTCAAAAGTTATGGCCAAAGTAAAAGTTTGGAATTTTTGTGTAAAAGTGGGTCAAACTCCAAGGTCAAGGTCAAAAGGTCAAATTTGGTGGTACCCAAAGAAAGGTCTTGTCACAAGGAATACACTTGTGAAATTTGAAAGTCATAGCTCCACTAAATCAAAAGTTATGGGCAAGGTTAATGTTTTTGTGACGGACAGACTGACAGACTGACGGACAGACGGACAGACAGACAGACGAATGAGATTTAATGTCCCCTCGCTTTCGCGAAAGCGGGGGACAAAAATAATGGACTTAGTACTATGAAGTAAATTTGTATGTACCAACAATAAGGCAGAGATAAGCTGAATAGTGAGTAAGGGTCAGTTAGCATATTATTGCATTATCGCCAACGCATCAACGGCTTCGCTCGCTTCATCTTCATCATATTATCAAATCTTATTTTGATATCATCGACAGCTGCTTTTTCAATAAAAAAATGGAACTCAATAAATTTACTTACCTTGTCATTGGTCATTTCACTCATTTGCAAAATTATTTTGTTAAAAACATTCTGATTCTACATACATGTACTATGAAATACAGACATCAAAAAGATGTTTAAATTTTAGTTTCTCATTCACAATATCTATGTGGATTTTTGAAGCAGAATTTGTTCAAAATCTTATACTTGAAAAGAAGAAAACACTTGCTGTGGCCTTAGATATACATCAACGACGCATTGTCAATTAACAATGATTATTTCCATTCATGTCGATACGATATATCTTGGTGAGCTTGAAATAAAAGATACCACAGAGTTCTGAAACATCTTTTTCATATTTGGATATTTTACTTGAAAAAGACGTTTACGGTAATCTAACAACCAATCTCTATCATAAACGTGATGACTTTAACTTTTCAATCGTCAACTTCCATTAGTTCTGCAGCAATACACCATCATCATCTGCATACGGAGTTTATATCTTTCATTTGATTCGATACGCAAGAACATGCTCTACGTATGAACAGTTTCTAAAACGAGGTTAATTATTGACAAACAAGCTGATGAAACAAAAATATCAACAATATCGTTTTAAGACATCATTTCGTAAGTTCTATGGTCGATACAATGACCATGTCAGCAAATACAATTTATCATTGAGTGGAATGCTGACTGAAGTTTTTCATACTAATTGTTAGTCCATTATTTACACATTGAATTGACGACGGATGTTTCCGTTATTTCCAGATCATGACGGGGAGCACATGGCGGGTGTGACTCGTCCTCCATGGCACCTGATCCCACCTCTGATGTTTGGAAGTCCGTGTTGCTTTGCTCCAAAATTTATATTGTTAAATGGACTTTTGAGTTTGAATGCTGTTCGATATGTCCATAAACTAGTACTGCATTTTAAGATTTTCATCACAAATTAAAAATGGTGTTACACATTATCAAAATCTTAATTTCTCCAAATAAAATAATTACATCTGAAGCAATTTTTCTTCAAAAACGTTTTACATTGCCATAAATTTTACCTTCAGATGATTTATCAATTAGCAATAGTTTCTCCCATTCACACGTTGACACGATATATCCCAGAAAACTTAAAATAAAAGACACCACCGAGTCTGCCACATCTTTTCACATTTAATGTTTTACTGAATATAGACGATAAGTGCGAACTTAACAACTTGTATTACTCCTGTATCAAT